TACACAGAACCTCATATCTCAAAAATAATAACTTTACAGTAGAAGGAAAACATGTAAGTCAATGGAACCAGACTTTTTTCTAAGTAATTTTGGTCCATTCATCATGATATTTATACACAATGTAAAGGGCAACAGACATTTTCAAATTATGTCAGAAACTGAAAAACGACAAAACGGAGATACATATATCACACATGTATGTATAAATATAGCAGAGGGCATAGATATACATTCCTAGATGCCGCGTTGTCTGTTCTGAGGCGATACGCCGGCGCGTCCGCCATGTTGGAGAGGTCAAGATCCGCTTGTGAACAGATTCACTTGTATTGAGAGACGAAGAGTCTCAGGATTAAATCAGCCACAACTTCCTTACTACTCAAACGATTTTCACCAAATCTGTTATAATCCTCAGACACAGATTAATCCAGGCTGCACGGATCTGCTCTCGGTAGCTTTATTACTTTAATAACTGATCGTGATGATTAGCCGTCCGGACCAGCAGGAGAGTATTCAGTCTGGACCTGACCTGAGTTTAGCGCGAGCTCTGTTAAAACACAATCAGCAAATCCATCAATGTGTGAATCACTTCTAATCTTTATACACAGAAGGACGAAGCTGAATTTGGCTTCCTATTCGCCAGCTTCTTGTTCGAGTTTCCCCGTTCCACCTTAAATGGTGCAGCAGTCACTTTCTGGTGCCTGAAGCTGCACCATTTAAGGTGGAACGGGAAAATGCGAACAAGAAGCTGGCTGATGCACCATTTAAGGGGGAACGGGAAAATTCGAACAAGAAGCTGGCAAATAAGAACCTAACTTTGTAATTTTGGACAGTATCTTTATTAAACTGCCGCTCTGTAATGGTACTGAATGCAGTCCAGCAGCGATGTTGACCGCCCTAAAATGGCGGCGCCGTTGACGTGCCTGACTGGACCCAACACGGCATCCAGGTATGTCTAAATATAGCGGAGAGGTTTCTTTACAGAAATATGAGCCCAAAGTCGCTGACTTGGCAACTGTGGAAAGAAACGCTGCGGCTGCTGCACAGCTGTGACACCCGGCTCAGCCAATTATTTCAGGCCACGTAAATTGTAAGCCAATCATATCAGATCACGTAAGTTCCAAGCCAAACATAAGCCAATTATATGCGCCCTGGGGGCGGGGCTCTGGCGGTTCTCTCTCTGGAAGCTGACGTCAGTTGTCGACCGTTGAAGTTCTGACAGGATTTTGGCTAAAAATCTCACTGAAGTAAAAATCACGGTTAATTTAATAAACATCATATACAGAGTGAAACAGTGAGCAGTTACAGTGTGAAACACCGACTCACTGCTCAGATTTGTGGCGAATCATGGTGAAAATAGCCGGCTGGTAAGCTTTTACCTGTTAGCAGTTGCTCCTTAGCTAATGTTAGCTAGCTGGCTAACTTCAGATTGAAGTTTTGTGAGGAAATGAAAGGAAAGGCTAATTTAACAGCGACGTGTTTTAATGTGTGTGAATATTAAAGAACCTTCACAGACAGAGAGAAATAACAGCTCTTTATTTTCTCTATATTGTTTGTTTTCTACGGAGCCCCGCTGGTGACATCCTGTATAATATTAACGCCTGGGAACAAGATCCTAATGCGTGGCCATGACTTAGTAAGGCGTGGGAATGAGATGATTAAGTCGTGGCCACGACTTAGTAATGCGTGGGAACGAGATCACGGCTTACTAAGTCGTGGCCACGCATTAGGATCTCGTTCCTACACTTTACTAAGTCGTGGCCACGACTTAATCATCTCATTCCCACGCCTTACTAAGTCGTGGCCACGCATTGTTTTTATTTATACAGGATGTCACCAGCGGGGCTCCGTAGTTTTCATATTTCTCTCAGTATTTGAAACAGTCAGATCAGTAGTAGCCACAGACTGTTCACAGTAGCTTACAGTGCACTCTTAAAAACGATGGCTCTTCAAGGGTTCTTTAGTAAGGAAAATGGCTCTGTATAGAACCATGAACACTCAAAGAACCCTTTGCATGATTGGAGGGTTCTTTGCATGGTGAAATGGTTCTTCAGATTGATGGAGAATGTGCTGTAGATGGTTTATATAGAACCAATTTGAAAACGGTTCTTCTGTTGTTACGATGTCAAGCTTGTAATAATAGAAGAACCCTTTTTGGTGCTATGTAGATCCATCCACAGCACATTCTCCATCCACCTTAATCATGCAAAGGGTTCTTTCAGTATTCATGGTTCCATATAGAACCGTTTTCTTTTCTAAAGAGTGTGGATAATGTCAGTGAAAAGGCCTCACAGTGTTGATCATGAGTTTTATGTCCCTCAGTTCCAAATGTTCTATATAGAACCATATACAGAACATTCTCCATCCATCTGAAGAATGCTTGATGTTACAAAGATTGATTGATGGGGAATGCGCTGTAGATGGTTCTATAAAGAAGAAAGGGTTCTATGTAGCTCCCAAAAGTGTTCTTCTATTGTTACAGTGTCAGGTTTGTTACAACAGACAAGCCATTTTGGTGCTGTATAGAACCCTTTTCAAAAATGGTTCTATATAATATCATGAACAGTCAAAGAACCATTTGCATGATTGTGCTGTAGATGGTTCTATATAGCACCCAAAAGGGCTCTTCTATTATTACACACTGGACATGATAACAGTAGAAGAACCCTTTTTGCTGGCATATAGAACCCTTTTCAAAAACGGTTCTATTTAGAACTCTTTCATCATGGAAAGGGTTCTTTGAGTGTTCATGGTTCCATATAGAACCGTTTTCTAAAGAGTGTGGATAATGTCAGTGAAAAGGCCTCACAGTGTTGATCATAAGGGTTTTATGTCCCTCAGTTCCAAATGTTCTATATAGAACCATGTACAGCACATTCTCCATCAATCTGAAGATTCCTTAATGTTGCAAAGGGTTCTTTGAGTGTTCATGGTTCTATATAGAACCATTTTCTTTACTAGAGAACCTTTGAGGAGTCGTCTTTTTAAAGAGTGAAGATAATATCAGTGAAAAGGCCTCACAGTGTTGATGGTAGCACTTTTCTGTCCCTCAGTTCCTCAACCTGCAGACGGACATGCAGAACGTCTCTCTGTGATGTGAAGCTCTGCTGAAGCTGCTGAAGGCCAGGCAGGTGAGGAGAGTTTAACCAGTTAAACTAAAAAACTGAACAGATTGCTCTCATTAAGTCTCGACGTCTCATAAATCTCATTTTAATAAAAAATAATGTGATAATAAACAGGTGAGGAGAGGGAGAAGCTGAAGGAGACTGAAGGAGCAGATCTGATCAGGTACTAATCTGCAGCCTGTGTGAATAACATGTTCAGGATCTGCAGTTTTATAAGAGAAGAGATAATATTGCTTGATTGTTTCTATTATAAGTGAATTGATAGTATTTAATTATCATATTAGATCCGCTTCCAATACAAACTGTGAAGAATCAGATCTTCTGTCTTCTCACCGTCACCAAACAGTAAAATGTTTGCCTGTTGAACAAATGAACAGACATTCTGGGGACATAAAAGACCCCCCTAGTAAAGGCTTAGTAAAGGCTTAGCCCCCCATCCATTAATCTGTACTGACCCGATCTACTTTATCATTAATGTCTATAAAAATAGCTTGTATATTATATATAATGACTCAGTAAATATTGCTGTGTTTTTAAACCAGTATTGATTTCTGTTTTATATAACAGTCTGAACTGTCCAGGCTGCTGTTATGTGTAACTGAGAGACTCAGAGTCTTTTGAAGTAGCTAATCTAAATCTTGAGCAACGTTGTCATAAAGATAATTAAACTACTATTTAATATCTATATTTTGTGAATATTATTAATATTTACTATATTTGTCTTACAGAATTCTGAAAAGTGTTTAATTCCAGGACCACCACGTTTTCACGGTGTTCATGACAGGCCTTCCACATTCATAGAAATATCTCAAACTATAATAATAATAGTAATAATAATAATAATAATAATAATATAATAATAATAATATACACCTTGTTATTTATGTTTACAGGTTGGATAAAAGACAAAGCTTGTCAGTGTTTCATTACGATGAGTTTTTTAGACAATAGAGGTCTCCAAAGACTACAAACTTGAAGGGGAGGCTGAATGTCTACATGTGGGATTACGAGTATTAATCATAAATTAATTAATTGACACGTGTGTGTGTTCTTGTATTGCTATACTTGTGAGGACCCCATGTCCTCACTAGGAAAGGACTATATGAAGTGAGGACATTTTTCTGGTCCTCACTCGAGCATTTGTTGTTTTCAACACAATTACTTTTTTATTTGAAAACTAATCGAGCAGAAAAATTGCCTTTTGGGTACTGAGGTTAAGGTTAGGGTTAGGTTTAGGTTTAGGTGTAGTATTATTTAGCTACAGTGACACAAAAATGAATAGAAGTCTGTGGACGTCCTCAAATGTATAGCAAGACATGTGTATGTGTATTTGTGTGTGTGTGTGTGTGTGTGTGTGTGTGTGTGTGGAGTAAAAAGGCTGAAACACTGTAGGTAACTATGCAGAGGCAGGCTACATCAGACCTGACCACCAGGGGTGCTACACTCTTAAAAAAGCTGGTTCTTCAAGGATCCTTTAGTATAGACAATGGTTCTATATAGAACCATGAACACTCCTAGAACCTTACATTGAAGTGGTTCTTTGCATGATGAAATGGTTCTTCATATCATATATAATCATATCGTCACTGTCCAAAAACACAAGTATCTCATATTTTTGTAATTTTCCTTTGAGTATCATTGTCTGTACTAAAGAACCTTTGAACAGCCATCTTTTTAAGAGCAGAGCTTCAGCTTAATGACGCTGTGTTGTTTTTGGAGGATCGTGTTTTGAGGCTTCTGCACATACGTTGTTCTGTGTTTTGTGTATGTGTGATATGGAGAGTTGGTCCCAGGAGACTGTAACGGAAAGAACGTGTCCAATTAAATTAGACTCAGCAAAAAAAAAAGCATTGAAATGAAATACATTAATCAGTAAACTTGAACTCCATGCAGGTTTTATTTTCATTAGTATGAGGAGAAAACAAAGATGTTTATTGATAGAAGTACAGTGTACGTAGATTAGCATATGTAAATCAGCTTTGCAAATCATTGTCGTACATGTTTTTATATAGCATAAGCGTGAAATGATTTGGATACTATTACAGTGATAGGCGTATGGATTATTTTAGAGATAAATGTAAAATCTTAGAGATAGACATTGAAAATTTGGTGGGGTTGTCCTTTCCTGCTTACCGCTGTTCACATTGCTTGCAACAATAATCCCAGCTGTCGTCAGTGGTTCTGCACCACAGGTAGCTTTTCCCATGGTAGCCACACGGGTGGTCAGGCTTGCAGGTGTTGCCGTTTATAGCCGTGAAGCAGTCATCGTGAATGCAGCATGGGCTCCGGCTGTTTTGATAATCAGTGTAGCACCAGTCGTATTTTTTACCATATTTGCCACAGGCGTGGTTGGGACGGCAGTACTGGCCGTTTTGAGCTATGCTTTTCCAGAAAGGGGAGCTGCAGTAGCCCCAGGAGCCTGCCTCTTTGTAACACCAGTAGTAGTCATAGCCGTATTTGCCACACGGGTGATCATCCTTGCACTTCTCCCCTGTAGCTGTGATGGCTGAGTACTGGGGCGTGCACTGGATCTGAGTTTTCCCTGAGAAACACCAGTAGCCCTTGAGTTCTTCCTGGAAGAGGCAGGGGGTGGTGCAGCGGTGCTGGAATCCGCTGTCCGTTCTACAGAAACGCTCATCACTCAGACAACGTGTGCCATCTGCAGAAATCAAAGACGCAGAGGTGGATTTCTCTGGAACCTGCCGACACTGAACTGGTTCAGACGTCTCTGTGAGCTCACCGTGCCGAGGGCTCATTGCCGTGGACAGTGGTGTATTGACTTTAGTCAGAAGACAAGCGGTTTTAGACTCAAACTTAATGACCTCTGTCTGCTGGAAATAGCTGTGCAGACTGTCGAAGCCCAATGTTAGATCACTCTTGTGCTGAATGTCTTTAATAATCTCTGTGAACCTGAGTTTGGCCAGCCTGTACGGCAGTCGGAAAAACGCACGCACCTCGTCAGACAACGGGAGCTTTGTTGACAGTCGAATTAGATTTTTTAGCTTTTCGTTAACTTGTTCCTTTGTGTTTCCTTGGTTACAGTTATCGGCAAAAACCCTAACGGATCCCTGCTGACCTGAGGCAACATGATATAGTTCTGTCAGGTCAGAATTCATTTCGGGAAAGAGCCTCACCATTACGGTACCATCTGGCCTGTTCACACCGAGGTAGCCAAAGGAAAATGAATATGGATTATTTTTATCGGTGGAGTCCTCAAAACAGACAGCTGTCCAGATGTGAGTGGGCACTGTCACCCTCTCAGATCTATGTATTTCTCCTTGATCAGCTTCCTCTCTCTGCGGTATTCGGTAATTTGGATGGGGGACGGTACCTGTGACGATATAGGCAGTTCCTTCAGGATGATGCTTAAGCTCTTCTGTTAAAAGATTCTTTAACTCAGCCTCCCACTCCCACCAGCGGAAGCGGTAAAAACTTGGATCCATGGGTGCAACATTGGTCAGTGTAAATGTTGGCACACGGTCTTCACTGGACTGGAAACTGTTGGGGTTAAGGTGCCCGCGGTCATATCTCGTATATCTGTAGTCACTGTTGGCTGCTTGGTTGATATATATTTCTTCAGAAACATCAGACTCTGGGTGCATTTCTTCCAGGTATGGGCTGTGTTCGCTCGTGTTAGAATCACTGGGCCTGGAATGTACAGTTCTGCGATGAATGGAATCCATCAGCTGTAAAGGAAAAAGACACCAGACATTCCAGTTTATTCACAGTATTGCCTCTTTGTTTTTTCTCTTTCTTTGTGCTCTTTGCTTTCCAAAAGAAAGGGGTAATCAGAAGTGTATGTCAGTATACAGTATACTTCATCAGTGGTCACAGGACGCTGCCCACAGGACGCTGTTGGCTGGATATTTTTGGTTGGCGGACTATTCTCAGTCCAGCAGTGACACTGAGGTGTTTAAAAACTCCAGCAGCACTGCTGTGTCTGATCCACTCAGACCAGCGCAACACACACTAACACACCACCACCACGTCAGTGTTACTGCAGTGCTAAGAATGATCCACCACCCAAATAGTACTTGCTCTGTGAGGGTCCATGGGGGTCCTGACCACTGAAGAACAGGGTAAAAGGAGGCTAACAAAGTATCAGAGAAACAGATGGACTACAGTCTGTAACTGTAGAACTACAAAGTGCACCTATATAGTAAGTGGAGCTGATAAAATGGACAATGAGCGTAGAAACAAGGAGGTGGTCAGAATGTTACGCCTGATCTGTGTATATTGGCCCCCTTTGTGAATGTGAGCAAAATACACTGCAAAAACTGAAAAAAAACATTTTTTTCAGGAAATAAATATTTTTCTCAAATCTGTGTTACACAATTGTTGGCACCCTTCATTTAATACTTTGTGCAGCCTCCCTTTACAAAGATAACAGCTCTGAGTCTTCTGCTGTAACGCTTAATGAGACTAGAGAACACATGGCGAGGGATCTGAGCCCGTTCCTCCACACAGAACCTCTCCAGATCCTTCATATTCAGAGCTCCAGACTGTCCTGCATTTCTTTGTAGTCAAATTCGGATAAAAAAAGAATAACACTACAAGTGTTAGTTGCACGTTTTCAGTGAGAATTATTAAGCAATAAACAGCATGAATGATTATATATAAAGCGTATATATATGGTCGCTGTCCAATGAAAACCATGTATCTCCATTTTGTTGATTTTTAGTTTTCTACATCATTTCAACACACCAGCTCTCCTTTACATTGTATAAAAATTTCATGATGAATGGACCAATAGAAATGTCCCAAAAATCACTTGGAACAAAATCTCTTTATACTGACTTACATTAAAAGGTAAGAGTGTTTTTGCCTTCTCCTGTAAAGTTAATATTTTGGAGATACCTGTTTTTCATTGGACAGCGATGATATTTACAACCCCATTTCCAAAAAAGTTGGGACACTGTGCAAAATGTAAAAAAAAAACAAAATGCAGGCAATTTAAACCCTATATTTATTTGAAAATAGTACAAAGACAACAAATCAAATGTTGAAACTGAGAAATTGTATTGTTTTTTTTTTTTAAATATACACCTCTTTTGAATTCATTCATTCATTCACATCATTGCATTTCATTCACATCATTGCATTTTGTTTTTATTTACATTTTGCACAGCTTTTTTGGAAATGGGGTTATATATCAACAGTCACATTTAGTCACATTTAAAGCACAATTTCAATATTGCTCAAAGAAATTGCAGTTAAATGTCTCCATCTGTGTATATCTGAAAAGTGCAGCATGTCTCCCTTTGAACATAACTGTCATTTATTTTATACCTGTTATTGGTTCAGAGATATTGCTGTTAACGTGATTTATTTATATGGAAATCTTGTGCATGTGTGTACTAAAAGCAAAAATCTAGTTAAAAACAGTTTTGACTTTACTGATTTTAATGCTTTAATGAGTTGTGTAAAGTTGTGTGAGTTTGTGTAAATCAGTAGACTCATATGACCAAAAGCTCAGTTTAGTGTGATAAAAACGTTTTGATCAGACAGTTTAATTTGAAAAATTCCAGACATCTAAAATTAAAAATCTTTGAATAGCTAAACATTTTTTTCCCCCAATTTAGTCATCTCCAGCTCCACCCACTAGTTAGGTCTCCCCCAATCACACGATACCACCAGGTGAAGGCAAACACAGGCTTCCTCCGAGGCCTGTGAAGCTCTACTGCATCTTTTCAAACTGCCGCTCACGCAACGTCATTGGACAGCTGAACGCGCTCGGAGGAGAACCGCCAGTGCTGTTACGTCAGCACTGACTAGCATCTCACTGAGCGATGGAGGGGAGATGGGGGGGCCGTCCTACCCACCCACAGAGAGCGAGGACAACTGTGCTGTCTTGGACTCCCAGACACAGACGGCTGTAGCATCACCAGGGATCAAACCCGCGATCTCCTGATGAGAGGACCAACGTTTAGACGGTTGCGCCACTCGGGAGCCCGACCGCTAAACATTTTAACACTTCTGTTAAACGTTAACTGATCTTTCTAAGACAAATCAACAGCAAAAAAACAAAAAACTAAATTGGTAACATTTCTGAGAGTTTCTGTGAAAAGGACGCCGTGTTTTACCGCACAGTGAAATTACTGTTTTTTCTGGATTAAGAAAAGTTGTTTGCACTTACTAGTTTATTGTTTTAGTAATTATGATAAAATTAACTCTTCAGTTGAAAGTAACTTATTACTTTACTTGGTAATGAAGCGCAGAGACAGAGTATTGAAAGGGTAATATGTCTCACCTGTGGCTCAATGAACCACTGTGATGGCCTCGTGAACTGCCCTCGATCACGTAGGTTGCTCTCGGCAAACTTGTACGCGCTGTACAGGGGGATTCGGTGGTGAGTCGAGTAGAGAGTAGCGTAGTGAAAAGTATCTTCGTATCTCTGACAGATTTTCTCAGCATTCTGATCCACACCGCTCGGCTCGGTCCTTCTGTAAAAAAACAAATCACACTCATCAAAGCTTGTGACGACTTTGGCCTGAGCACTGAGTGCTCTCAGCAGAACGCAGACCAGCAGAGACAGGAGCATCATGATGCGCAGATGAGCCTCGTATCAGAGAGTGAAGATGCCACCCGCACATTCGCTTTAAATACACCAAACCTCTGGGATGGTTTAGTGGGTGTGTCTCAGGGGTGGCAACATGAGTGGCACAGAGTTGTAGATGCCAGCCCTGAAATAAATCTGCATTCAATGTGTGAGACGACCGCACGGCGGCACTACAGTGTCATAGTGGGGAACGTCAGCAAAACAGCAGTGGTAGCTGCTGATATTTGTACAGAATATTGGGTTTATTTTAGTAATTCAGCCTCCACACATGAGCTAATTGTCTTAATTATCTTAACCTCTTCAACTCCTTGGGACCACCGGTGGTTCCAAAACGCACTTCGTCATATTCTTCATAACTTTCATATTTCATAAGCTACATTCTAAATGTGGGGGTCGTATGAGAGCTGTAACTGTCTTCTTTCCAGTCAAATAGATGGTGATGTAATTTTAAACCCTTATAATAAAAGAAGCTGAACTCAGTTTTTTCTTTACTGAAAGTCGACCCATTTTTCCACAAATCTGGGCTATAAACTATAAACAGATGGCGTCTCTTCAGTGATCTGCTCTGTAAACATTATTTTTATAAAAAAATACAAAGAGCGTCTGAGATTTTTGGCTTTCAGCAGTAAATTGTAAGCATATAGCAATATGTGTGATCATAAAACACACGTTCTGTTAATTTGAAGGGAGGTTTTACAAAAAAATACATAAATAAAATAAAAATGTACATTTATTTCATGCAGTTACTGAATAATTTGCCTTATGATTTGGTCATGGAAATTCAGATGGACAAACCAAAATATACCCTGGAGAATAAGAGGTTAATTGTCTTATTCTCACCCACATGTGAAAAAACACATATAAGCATTTGACTCTAACTGAATTAAAGCATCACTCATCTAATGCTCATCCTCAGCTCTTTATTCTGTTGCAGAATGAAGTTACTCTCTTTGACGACTAAAAAAACAAAAGTAAACAAAGAAGCACAATCCACAGTGCGTCCATCTTGAAGCCGTAAGTAGGAACTTCTGAGGAGGACTTGAAGGCAACATAAGCCTCCTGACCCTAACTCTGACCAGACAGGTAGGTAAGTAAGTAAAATATAAGCACATTGATGTAGATTAATGGCAAACGTTTTAGTTTAGGCATCTTCTCAAAGTAGAGCTGAGCATTTTATGCACGTTTGCATGTTTTTGTGTGTGTCTGGATTAGATGCTGTTTGATGGGTTCATAGACATGTTAGTGAAGCTGAGTTTGGAGTGGCATAATTCACTTTCAGTTCAAAACAGAAAGCAGGGATTAGTGAATTTGTATTAAATTCAAAACAGTACAAAAACATGATATTTGACGTTTTATCCTAAAAGATCCTTGCAGTCACATTTTTGAGCAGTTGTTCTTAAACTGTTGGATTCTTAGCTTATGCATTTTTGGCACAGTGCTGAGACTTACCTGCACTCATAAACAATCATATTAAATTCATATCAAACAATCCGTATCACTGACACTACAAAAAACAGCATTTCTAAAAGTGTTTTATTGTGTTTAAATTCTGACTTGGTTGCTCAACAATAAAGGTGAAAATCTGTTTGACTTCTGTTTTTTGTAAATCTTACACATTTCCACTGAAATATATTTCATCAGTGTTATTGAATAAAAATTACAACACAGCATTTTCACTTCTGGTTATATGTCCATTACCAGATAAATTGACAGGTTTACACAGTACAAATATATATATAAATATATATGACCACCTCCTTGTTTCTACGCTCACTGTCCATTTTATCAGCTCCACTTACTATATAGGTGCACTTTGTAGTTCTACAGTTACAGACTGTAGTCCATCTGTTTCTCTGATACTTTGTTAGCCCCCTTTTACCCTGTTCTTCAGTGGTCAGGACCCCCATGGACCCTCACAGAGCAGGTACTATTTGGGTGGTGAATCATTCTCAGCACTGCAGTAACACTGACGTGGTGGCGGTGTGTTAGTGTGTGTTGCGCTGGTCTGAGTGGATCAGACACAGCAGTGCTGCTGGAGTTTTTAAGCACTGTGTCCACTCACTGTCCACTCTATTAGACACTCCTACCTTGTCGCTCCACCTTGTACCTCAGTGTTTTACTGTGTTCAAATATTGCCTTGTTTGCTCAGTAGTAAAGGTGAAAATCCAGTTGACCTCTGTTTTTGTAAGTCTTACACATTTCAACTGAAATATATTTCATCAGTGTTATTGAATAAAAAAATGCAACACAGGATTTTCACTTCTGGTTTTTAATTTGGGGTAACTTTCATCGGAGTGTTAGTCATTTTACTTCTGCATTTGACCTTTTGGTTGATACCCAGTCCAAAACAAAGAGTTACATGTCCATTACCACATAAACTAACATAAACTAACAGTTATAAGAAATACATACAAAATCCACAATTCCACAAATGTTTCCCCCCTTTCTTTAGTTTGGGGCAGTGAACTATATATATGTATATGTAGTGAAGAGCTGTGGTACTGAAACTGCATAGAACATTCTGAAAATAACCGCTGTAGTGAAACTGAATAGAACGTTCTGAAAATAACCGCTATAGTGAAACTGCATAGAACAGTCTGAAAATAACCGCTATAGTGAAACTGAATAGAACATTCTAGTGAAACTGCGCAGTACGGACTTTAAGCAGCGGGTTCACTACAGCAGCCAGAAAAAGTTGCTGATTTCCAGGCATTTCACTCATGGGTTCTTTCCCAGTCATGCAGGGGTGCCTTATTCATGGTTTGGAACTTGGAACAGTGGTGAAACTTCCTAGGTGTGGCTGGCCTACCAAAATTTCGCCAAGAGCGCATCAACGACTCATCCAGGAGGTCCCAAAAGAACCCCAATGAACATCTAAAGAACTGCAGGCCTCACTTGCCTCAGTTAAGGTCAATGTACACGATTCCACAATAAGAAAGACACTGGACAAAAATGGAATCGATGTGATAGTTGCAAGGTACAAACCACTGCTGACCAAAAAGAACAAAAAGGCGTCTCGCATTTGCCAAAAAACATCTAGATGACCCCCAGGGCTTTTGAGACAATGTTCTGTGGACTGATGAGTCAAAGGTGGAACTTTTTGCAAGGCATGGGTCCCGTTACATCTGGCGTAAAGCTAACACTGCATTCCACCATGAGAACATCATACCAACAGTGAAACATGGTGGTGGTAGTGTGGTGGTCTGAGGCTGCTTTGCTTCTGCAGGACTTGTCATAATTGATGGAACCATGAATTCTGCTCTCTATTAGAAAATCCTAGAGGAGAATGTGGGCCAGTCAGTTTGTGACCAAAAGCTCAAGCGCAGTTGGGTTATACAGCTGGACAGTGATCCGAAGCACACAGTCCATCTCTGAATGGCTCAAAAAAAACAAAATGAAGCTTTTTGAGTGGCCGAGTCAAAGTGCTGACTTAAATCCCATTGAGATGCTGTGGCAAGACCTTAAACAGGCAGTTCATGCTTGAAAACCCCCTGCTGTAGCTACATTAAACAACTCTGCAAGAAAGAGTGGGCCAAAATTCCTCCACAGCGATATATATATATATATATATATATATATATATATATATCATATATATATATATATATATACATATATACATATATAAACAAATGGAAAACACACTTAAGATACATTTGGGAGTAAGGAGTGTTTCTTGCCTTGTTAGTACTGCTGGTTTTTTTACATAATGTACAAGAAAAAGGGAAATGTAAGAATTCAGCTTTATTTTTTAATTTCATCCATGTGTCAAAACAGCATTTTCACTTCTGTTTTTTAATTTGGAGTCTGTTTTTAAATCTGAGTCATTTTACTTCTGCATTATACCTATTACTGGGAATAGATGATGCAAGTATAATATAAATAAATACACCAACCTGCCACCTCATTAAACCCACCTCCTTGTTTCTACACTCACTGTCCATTTTATCAGCTTAACTGACCATATAGTTTCACTCTAGTTCTACAGTTACAGACTGTAGTCCATCTGTTTCTCTGCATACTTTGTTACCCTGTTCTTCAATGGTCAGGAACCCTACAGGACCCTCACAGAGCAGGTAGCTGCCACAACAGGGCAGTAAAAGAGCCGCATGCAGCTCCGGAGCCGTGTGTTGCTGACCCCTGCACTGTACTGTCTAATGCAGTTCCAATTTCATTAAGCAGGAATCTGCTTTCATGATGGACTCATTCATTTCAGACTCATTCAGTGCCTCATACGTCTGCCTAAAATAGAATACTGTCCAGATCTGCTGTTTAATGGATGAACAGCTTTGATATATATTTTTTTTATTTTCTGCTAATTAGCATGATGCTAACTAAATGCCTAAATCATCACACACTTGCCTTAAACCATTTCAAGTTCAGTATTCTGTATCCCACACGTGTCGTCTTATGACTGCATATATTCACTGCTCATTTGGGTGCTTGTGTTCTTTTGCAGTTGGGTCAAGTCAATGTACGGTCAAGTGTGCCTAGCTAGCCTTAGAGGCCGCAGCCTTTATACTCCTTGGAACCACCGGTGGTTCCAAAACGCACTTCGTCATATTCTTCATAACTTTCATATTTCATAAGCTACATTCTAAAGGTGGGGGTCGTATGAGAGCTGTAACTGTCTTCTTTCCAGTCAAATAGATGGTGATGTAATTTTAAACCCTTATAATAAAAGAAGCTGAACTCACAATTGTTTTGTTCTACTGAAAGTCGACCCATTTTTCCACAAATCTGGGCTATAAACTATAAACAGATGGTGTCTCTTCAGTGATCTGCTCTGTACAAATTATTTTTATAAAATAATACAAAGAGCGTCTAAGATTTTTGGCTTTCAGCAGTAAATTGTAAACATATAGCGATATGTGTATCATAAAACACATGTTCTGTTAATTTGAGGGCTTTTACAAAAAAATAAATCAATAAATACAATAATAATTTACATTTATTTCATGCAGTTACTGAATAATTTGCCTTACGATTTGGTCAAGAAAATTCAGATGGACAAACCAAAATATACCCTGGAGAATAAGAGGTTAATATATAAATCCTTCCTGGTGCCACAAAGAAGACTTTTCTCAAAATTACCCTTTTCCGACCAAAATATATACAGTACTTTGTAAAGGTTTTAGACACCTGAGAAAATGATATATAAAGCTGTTTATCTGGGCACTGAGTGTTTATTTGCTCTGAAAAACACTATCATTAGAATAAATACAAATAGTTTTAATACAGTATGTAATGATAATATGTCAACATGTTTGTTTAACCATTTCCAGATCTCTCCTTGAGGAAGCCCAGTATTAACTGTAATCATCCAACACCTGGTTTGTCTAATCAATACTTCATCAATCAGGTGTGCTGCTGATGGAGTTTAATAAATCTGTGGGATGGCTGGGAACATCATGGAGAAACTGTGCTGGACATTGGCCCTCAAGGACCAGATTAGATTTGCCCCCATCATTTGCTCAGGAGAGAAAAGAAGGACAGGAGACATCTTAGCCCTATAGTTACACTATACCAGGGGTCACAACCCAAATGTTAGAAAAAGCCAAACCACCTAGCGAGCCGCAATATTTTCTGTATTGGCTGTAAATCTGTCTCAGTATGTGCTAATGTCCTAGTATAGGCTACCAGATTTAATATAAACAAAAATGTAGACTTACTTTGCTCTACTTTAAGCTTTAGCTCGGCTATAGCTGCGTTTCTCGCATCTCTGGCAGGAAACTTTTCTTCAAAAGTAGAATATTTTCTTGTAAAATGTCTCTTAATGTTTGATTTTTATGAGGCTGAAGTCGCTTCTCATTCGCCAGTTTCTTGTTCGAATTTTCCCGTTCCACCTTAAATGGTGCCTGAATCACCAGAATGTAACTGCAGCATCATTTAAGGTGGAACGGGAGAATTCAAACGAGATTGTAACTATCCAACACCTGGTTTGTCTAATCAATGCTTCATTAAAGTAAATCAGGTGTGCCGCTGATGGAGTTTAATAAATCTGTGTGATGGCTGGGAGCATCATGGAGAAATGTGGAACCAAACTTTGTGTATCAGACAGTTTTTCTGGCTAATATTGCGATTATATTCTATAAAGAGGTTCAGGCCTCTTTTTTTGCCAAGAAGACCAGAATATCGACCTTTTTCAGGCTTGAGGCTCGACCCCTGAATGTAGCGCGCCAGAAAGCCAGTAAGTTGTGGTTGTGATGTCACAACACAGGAGGTTTGGTTGCCTCTGATTGATCTACCTCATCTACAGGCTGTTCACAATCTCTGTGTTAATACATTCTTTAAAAAGAGGGTTCTTCAAGGGTTCTTTAGTGAGAAAATGGTTCTATACAGAACGATGAACGCTCAATGAACCCTTCCCACAATCAAAGTGTTCTTTGCATCATGAAAGAGTTCTTCAGATTGATGGAGAATGTGCTATAGACGGTTCTATATAGAATCTTTTTGAAAAGGGTTCTGTATAGCACCAAAAGGGGTTCTGCCATTGTGACGATGTCATGCCTATAACAGTAAGAGAACCCTTTTTGGTGCTATACAGAATCCTTTTCAAAAAGATTCTATATAGAACACATTCTCCATCAATGTGAAGAATCCTTTCTTGATTCAAAGAACCCTTAGATCATGCAAAGGGTTCTTTAAGTGCTCATGGTTCTTTATAGAACCATTTTCATTACTTAAGAACCCCTGAAGAACCATCTTTTTTAAGAGTGTATATAGAATCTTTTTGAAAAGGGTTCTGCATAGCACCAAAAAGGGTTCTTCTATTGTTACAAGCTTGACATCGAAACAATAGAAGAACCCTTTTTGGTGCTATATAGAACCCTTTTCAAAAAGATTCTATATAGAACCATGTATAACACATTCTCCATCAATCTGAAGAACTCTTTCATGATGCAAAGAACCTTTAGATCATGCAAAGGGTTCTTTAAGTGTTCATGGTTCTTTACAGAACCATTTTCGTTACTAAAGAACCACTGAAGAACCATCTTTTTTTAAGAGAGTATATAGAATCTTTTTGAAAAGGGTTCTATATAGCACCAAAAAGGGTTCTTCTATTGTTGCAAGCTTGATATTGAAACACTAGAAGAACCCTTTTCAAAAAGGTGCTATATAGGACCATCTACAGCACATTCGGCATCAGTCTGAAGAACCATTTCACCATGCAAAAAACCTTTTAATCATGCAAAGGGTTCTTTACAGAACCATTTTCTTTACTAAAGAACCCTTGAGGAACCTTCATTTTTGCTAATGCTGTACTACCTCCATGGCTTTACCCCTAGACGTGATACCAGTGAGTGTGTCTGGTTTGGGTGTCAACGTCTTCCTAAATGAATGTAAGAAACCTGAAGCACCAAATTCAAAAGGTGTTCTTTAATGACAGTATAAATGTAAAAAATAAGCAACATATATCTTTACAGTCTTTGTAAATGACACTCTTTGGTGAAGAGTTCTACCAATATCTTCTCTACATCCTCAGATTTCCTAACACTGAATGATCTAAGTGTTTAGAACTGTGTCTTACAGCCCACCCTTAACCTGAAACCCCTGAAAGTCACAAGAACTAAACTGAAATGTCTCATATCAAATTTACATAAACGTTTTTACTTAATAAGCTGTATCTGAAGACATTTTCAAAGGATTCCTTAACTGCACCTAAATCCGTACTGTGTTATATACACCCCATGCAGTACAACATAAATGAAAACACTGAAACTGACATTCTCGTTGAAGCTGCTGTAACTGGACTAAGTCTGGATATATAATGAGGTTTTGTAGGACTGAAGAGAGGAGAGGCTGGCGGCAGGGTTGCGTTGGGTTTTTAGCCCGTTAGCGCCTCGCTGAGTCCTCCAGTGACTCTCCTTCTGCGTCTACCTCCTCACAGTCTCGCAGCTCGCTCGATATGTGGATCTCAATTGTACTAGACTCTGAACCTAGCAAAACAGAATGGAGGGAGATGACTAGTTAATTTGGAAAGTGTTCATCTCTGCAGTCTAACTCAGGTTCTAGATTCTCATTGGCATGTTGCCCATATTAGGAATTCCCTACAGGGAAAAATGAGTGGTGTTTTCAAAAACTGCCATTATCTCACTATGTAGTGCACAAAAAATGTTACAGACCTGATTTGTCCTGTGAACGTTTTCCCTACGAAACGTCACCGGATCCTCTGAAGTTTGAGGTCAGTTTGTGGTCACAATGCAGGTATCGCTACACACAAATGACGTCACATGAAAGCAGGTTTGCTGTTAAACTTGTTATAAACCAGCACCAGCTACTCAAACTGCAGCCTAAAACTGCCAAAGCCTGTGAACTGCAACACTGGACAGAGCCTGCTGGTCAGTCTTACAATGTCAGTTTAGTGTGCAGCCATGTTAGCCTTTGGGTAGCATTAATTCATATTTCCACTCCTTAACAACCTCGATATTCAGAGGATCTGGCAACATTTAAGGGAAAACTGTCCATACAGCAAAGCCTTAAACATTTTTGTTGACCACAGTATGAGATTTATTCATTTTTCCCATACAGAAAACCAGCTTAGACCCGGATTTCCTTATATGGGCATGACAATTAAAATGGATAAAATGATAACTAAATGTAGAGAGATACTCTCACTGAGCATTTTATTAGGAACACCTACTTGTATCTACATTCACTGTCCATTTTATCAGCTCCACTGACCATTAAGTTTCACTCTGTAGTTCTACAGTTACAGACTGTAGTCCATCTGTTTCTCTGCATACCCTGTTCTTCAGTGGTCAGGACCCCCATGGACCCTCACAGAGCAGGTACTATTTTGGTGGTGGATCATTCTCAGCACTGCAGTAACACTGACGTGGTGGTGGTGTGTTAGCGTGTGTTGTGCTGGTGCGAGTGGATCAGACACAGCAGTGCTGGAGTTTTTAAACACTGTGTCCACTCACTGTCCACTCTATTAGACACTCCTACCTTGTCAATCCACCTTGTAGATGTAAAGTCAGAGACGATAGCTCATCTGCTGCTCCACAGTTTGTGTTGGTCATCTTCTGGACCTTCATCAGTGGTCACAGGACGCTGCCCACAGGACGCTGTTGGCTGGGTATTTTTGGTTCTCAGTCCAGCAGCGCAACACACACTAACACACCACCACCACATCAGTGTCACTGCAGTGCTGAGAATGATCCACCACCCAAATAATACCTACTCTGTGGGGGTCCTGACCATTAAAGAACTACAGTAGAACTACAGAGTGCTCGTATATGGTCAGTGGAGCTGACAAAATGGACAGTGAGTGTAGAAACAAGGTGGTGTTCCTAATAAAATGCTCAGTTTCTGGTGAATTAAAGCTAAAACTCTAAAAGGTGGTGGTAAAACAGAAACTTTCAGGTCCAACAAATGTTTTCAAATAAACTGAAAGTTCTCCCTGAAAACTGTACTGAAATTCAATTGAATTACTGAAAACAAAGAAATAACATGACGTTTACTGTACCAAACCTCTATAATCTTTAACTGTCATAACGTTTTAACTTGTTTTAATAGAAAACAGCTGTAATAAACTGTGTGACTCAGACATATAAGGTGTAGAATTAGTTTATTGTGTATTTAAGGTGTACAGTTTTACTGGGAGAACCGCGTTCATCGTCTAATTCTGACATGATGTGTTCTTCAGTGACGCCCAGCCGGTCCTTCATACTTTAGAGGAGCTGCAGGACTTTAAAGGTGCAGAGTGTAAGATTTAGAGGGATCTATTAGCAGAAATGGAACATCGTATATAAAACCATGTTTTCACTGGTGTATAATCACCTGTAATTGTGGATAGTTGTGTTTTCGTTAGCTTTCATTATTTCCATATCTACATAGCGAGCGGCTCCTCTTCAACAAAGGCCGCCATGTTGCGCCTCCATGTTTCTACAGTAGCGGACAAATCAAACACTGACTCTAGAGGGCGCCTTTTGTGTTTTAGCGCTGAATTTGGTGGCGCTGTAGCTCCGGTTGGAAGAAGGAAAGAAGAAAGAAGAAGGATCAGTGGTTGCTGCCGGTGCTGCTGACCATTATGTGTTGTGAGAAGTTTGAGAACCCAAACTGACAAATGGAGGATCAGACTTATTACTTGGAACAAGAAAAAGCGAGAGAGGGTGAATCCTCACCATTAAAGAAGAGGAAACATGAAGAAAACATGTAGGTTGTACTACACGCTTGGAAAGGGAGGAGTGAGGGAGGCACAGTCAGTTGGTTGCAGTCTGCAACCTCACCACTAGATGCCACCAAATCTTACACACTGCACCTTTAAGGCAAAGTCTGATTATTGTAGGTGTAGAAAGTCACCACATCTTCACAAAACGAGTACAATCTAAATTAAAAGATTAAAATATGCATGTAACCCATATCAATGTGAACATATCTGCAGTAATTTGCATAAGCAAATATTTTGGTGACTTTCTATAACCACAGCACATCAGTTTACTACCCACAAAGTTTTGCAGACAGTTTTGTATTGATGGCGGTGCAACCAAAAAAATAAATAAATAAAATAAAAACCTTTGAAAAATAAAAAAGCTGTGCTGATTACACATCATTACACATCTGCTGCAGGACTATGAATGTTCCCATTTAGGCCTGGACACACTAAGCCTTGTTTACTCTGATGTTTGACGACAAGTCTCACTGACGGCTCATCACTGAAAAGATTTACAAACACGAGCGCATGTTAAATAGGGAATTACAGCAGATGTAATGTCATCATTTCCCAAACTAACAGTATAAATTTATGGGGAAAAATGTGAATCATGAAAATAGTCAAAAATGCCCTGAGTTGATTATGACCACCTCTAGTTTAGCACGTTTATGATATTTATGATCGTCTTTCTCTTCCAGTTCCAGTGTTACTGAGCAGGAATCTGCTTTTTCACAGTGAAAAGCACAGACTATACGCTTTCATGAATGTAGCTCATACGTCTGTGTGAAATATCGTCCAAATACGCTTTTATATTTGGTCCCTTATAAGAGTCTCGGGATGATAAGCAGCTTTGGAGTGGTTTTTGTCACGAGACTCCGAGAAAAAGACGGATTTGTCACGTCTGCTTAGTGTATCCAGGCTTTTAGGAGAAAATAGCACAACGCTGATGAACAGCTTTTCAACTGAAACACCATATAAAAGCATTTCTGTATAAAAGACAGCTTCACACTAACAGGCTAAACATGAATATGGAAAAAATCACCTGGTTATTTTGGCTTCTTCGTTTCTGGCAACAGTTTCTTTTTCACTTATGTTGAAATAAAACGCCAAAACAACAACATATGCACAAGATAAGTCTTTTTTGACTTATCTTGAAAATATGATGCGTCATACGGCTTAGATGGTTGGTGTACTTCAATGTAGATAACTAAGAAATTCCAATACTAAAAATTTCAAGATAATGTCAAAATTGTGAGAAAATAAGCCATTATTTTAAAATACTGTAAAAATTTTCAAATAATACGTCGACTTTTTTGATACTGCTGCCAAAAACAGCCTTCACTAACTTGCCCTTCTTAACACCTACATCTAAACCCTTTGCTAAAAAACGCCACACGTCTAGTTCTCTTGGAAGAGAAGCATTGTCCTTATGTTTTTTTTACATCATTTTATATTTTATCTTTTTTTTTTTGAAAGCACAGCAATGTTTACTCTTCTCTAACTGAGCTTGTTCAAATTGGATGAGTTAAAAGCACCATATCATCAAGCAGACCTTGTACTGAAGGAGATCTAAGGGCAGAATTGCAGAACGTCTGTACTGGATCAGTTTGGCCCTCCAGAAAGATCTAAAACAAACCCAGTGGACCTTCATATTCAGATATGGTGCTACACATATTTGGAGTGAGCAGTTTGATCAGGACAGTCCTCTAGACCTCAGAGAGCAGCTATGTGAACAGGGAAATAGGGGGGAGGGGGGTCCCAGTAAGTTCACCAGCCCATGTAGACGGGTGAGCCGTGGCTGTCTAGCCGCAGGACGTTACCTTCAGACAAGACGCTGACGGCATCGGACGGCTGGTGGTGTCCGTTTCCCGTCAGCTTCTTGCCCTCCTGAACGTGGCTCTGGTACAGCAGCGTGGAGGCCACCATGGTGTTGTAGCCTCCGGCCGTCACCAGCGAGGTCGAGGCCGAGTCCCAGGCCAGCTCCCGCCGCGGCTGCAGGCTCAGATCCACGTCCAGCCCTGTCCAGCCGTGGAAGGCCAGCGTGTTGAGAAAAGCCTGCATGGGGTTCAGGATGCCCTGCGGAAACACAACCAGCAGAGCTGTGGGACCGTGAAGAATTGCACTGCACAGGTTTACATCCTGGCAAAGTAAATCATCTTAATCTAGTCAAAATATCTGATACTGCTAATATTGAATATTTCTCATATCTAATATTTCTCATATCTGATATTTTTAATCAAATATTTAAATACTAAATAAAATGACCATATTTGTGTTGTAGTCATGGCGACCCCTGGTTCCTATCACCACCACTGTAAGGAAATCTGAACCATTTCGCAGCAAACCACTCTGAATCTCTCTGTTTACATCTCAAGGATTGTATTATACACAAAATTAGAAAAAATCCCCTTTAAGCATTTGAATTTGTGTAAATAAGAGGCACATTAAAACCCAAAACACTGCACCGTTCTGCTACAGTTTTCAGGTTGAAAGACATTTCACTGAAACAGTGTGAAACGGTGTGCAGTGAGATTTGAGGTACGTTTTCTCTGGTTTGATGGGCGTGCCAGAGGTGTTACCCAATCAGCAGTGACTTGTATATAAACCCTGCTGTATTAAAGAGGCAGCGCACACAAAGGATTACAATAAAGCCCTCTACAAATGCGGCTGCTGCAGCTTGGTGTACTTAACTATGGAGGACGTTAGAAGACGTAGAAGAATTAAAAGCCCGTATTTAAACCCATTTCATCAGGCTCTGAAAATTCTTTGAAAGGAATTCGTTCAGCTGCTGCAGTTACAATGTTCACGTAACACAACACTGTTCGCCACCGTTGTCATTTAAATAAATGTTTTGGTACTAAATCTGATCCAATCAGATTTCAGAACCAGAACTGCTTTTGTGTGCTGAATTTAAATGAACCCAGGCTGCCAGACGGGACCCACCATGATGAACCAGGTGATGAGAGCTGCGTTACGTATGTTCTTCAGCTCGCTGGCTTTAATGTCTGTTTGCATCTCCAGATAAAAGAGCAGACTCTCGTTGATGAGGTTGGGCAGCCAGCTAACAGGAGAGAGACAGAAATGAGACACTCATATCTTTTTGAATGGAGTCTTTGGCAAAGCAGAGGCCTTTAGAGTCCATCCACAGAAGTGTGCGTGGGTGGAGAACTAGAACGTAAACATTACAGACAATATCGACTGTAAAGGTCTCACCAAATGAAGAAGACCAGGAGGATTTTGAAGAAGCGGATTTTGATCTCGGTTCCGAGGCGCCGTTCGTTCTCCGTGTAGATCCCCTGCCGGCCCTTCAAGAGTGATGTAACTGTGGAGAAACAACAGGAGCTGTAATCGCTATCGGCGTGACGGGCCTTTGATCACAGCGCTGTGGTCTAACGCAGATGACAGAGGGCTCTGTATGCAGCGTGGCTGGTCTCACCACTGTCCAGTCAAATCTCAGAGCTGCAGTTACCGATACTGACTGAACTGTAAAGCCTCTTCTGAAGCTCTCCGAGATCAAACCCAGGAGGAAAAGAACGCTTACTTAGTAATTACATCATCAGGTGTCCCTTAATGGAAGGGAGATGCTAATGAGGTAACTAATGGAAGCTAGTAGCCGAAATTTTAAGACATTTAGGAAGTCATGACTCTGTTTCGGAGTGTTTGGAAGAAAGAGCAAAACCATGTGGCGTATTAAGTGTGGATACGATATTCATTTACATTAACTGGGTATTTGAACAGAGATGTGTAGAGTACTGCATTAACAGTGTCGTTAATGGGGCTCCCAAGTGGCGCAACCATAGATATACATACCGAAATGCCACATTGTCTGTTGTTCTCTATGTGAGGCGATACATCTGCGCGTCCGCCATGTTGGAGAGGTCAAGATCCACTTGTGAACAGATTCACTTGTATTGAGAGACGAAGAGTCTCAGGATTAAATCAGCCACAACTTCCTTATTACTCAACCGATTTTCACCACATTTGTTTTCTTATAATCCTGAGATATAGATTACACAGCCTGCTCGGATCTGCTCTCGGTAGCTTTTATTACTTTAATAACTGATCGTGATGATTAGCCGTCCGGACCAGCAGGAGAGTATTCAGTCTGGACCTGAGGTGAGTTTAGCGCTCCAGTAAAAACACAATCAGCAAATCCATCAATGTGTGAATCACTTCCAATCTTTAAACACAGAAGGACGAAGCTGAATTTGGCTTCCTATTCGCCAGCTTCTTGTTTGATTTTTCCTGTTCCACCTTAAATGGTGCAGCAGTCACTTTCTAGCGTCTGAAGCTGCACCATTTAAGGTGGAATGGGAAAATGCGAACAAGAAGCTGGCTGATGCACCATTTAAGGTGGAATGGGAAAATTGGAACAAGAAGCTGGCTGATGCACCATTTAAGGTGGAGTGGGAAAATTTCTATGGCTCTGTTCTTCTGTTTTTGGATTCTTTTGGTCTAAAATAAAACACCAAAGCTCTAAAGTGAGAGATGTGAGCAGCAGTGAAACGGTCCAGCACAACAGAATGAAATTAAAACCCAAGAAAGGAATTACGAACTTGATGTGAATTACAAATCCATCAAAATGCTTCAGTACATGTAACTGAACAAATGGAAGTTACTGCCTCTGTATACAGATGAATTTAAAGTTAGCCATTTTTAAAGTGGAGAACTGCAGAGAAAGCAGCAACACAAGCAGCTGATACTGTGTCTCATGCTTAGCCGAATGAACATGTCTGTGTGGAGCTGTATATGGAAATATTTCAGTCTAAATAAATCAATAAATCAACCCAACCATAGTACCTTTACAGGGCAAGGAAAAACTTCGAAAGGAAGTAATTGGAGATTTTTTTTTCACTTGTCAAGTATAATCACGTCAAGTCTTTGGACCAGTTTTGTTGGTCCATTCATCATGAAATTATGTCAAAAAATTAAAAACAACAAAAATAAAGATACAAGATTTTGTCCCAACAGCAACTATATTGTCTTGTAGGGCTATTTAACTACTGTTTGTTTAAAAATGCTCATTTTCAATAGCAGAAATCCCTAATTGGCCCCATCAATCCTCCAATTGCACGGGTTTGTTGGGTGTGTAGTTGTGGGGTCAACTCACCTGCAGCCACAGTGCGAGTGAACAGGATGGGGTTAACCAGGAGGACCAGCAGCAAAGGGGCGTAGGTGGTGACATAGTGTGGGATTGCGTGCTGAAGGCCGTTTTCACAGCTGTGAACAACAGATCAGATGAGGGAGCTGATATCAGGACAGGAGAACTAATATCAGAATAAAGTAGTTAATGGTATCACTTTACTGTAGGATACTGTTCTTAAGGCTACATGACACCTACATAAGCTTGTCATGAGAACTGACTTAACCATACATAAATGTTTATAAATGCTTATTCCAAAAGGCATCATTCGCTATTAAGGTTACATTTGCCAATTTTGATCAAAGTTAGCTAACGTAGCCTTTATGACAGATGATGCCTGTTGGAATAAGCCTTTATAAACATTTATGAAGTGTTTTGTCAGTTATCATAACAAGATTATGTAGGTGTCATGTAGCCTTATGAACAGTACCCTACAGTAAAGTGTTACCAAGTTAACATTGGGACAGGAGAGCTAACAGAGTTATAGAATACAATGAGTCGTACTGAAGTGCTCAGTGACTTTACTTTCCACCTTTGCCACAAGACAGTTTTCGGCCCTGCTGGATCTGCCCTGGTCAACTATGAGTACTATACAGTTCCCAACTGCCTCTGGAAGCAACACCAGCACAAGAACTGTGTGTCACAAAATGTATTTCTATGGCTGAACAGCTGCACACAAGCCTAATATCACTGTACTCAACACCAACCGTCAGATGGAGTGGAGTAAAGCACCACCACTGGACTCTGGAGCAGTGGAAACGTATTCTGTGGAGTGATGAATCAGCTCCTCTATCTGTCAGTCTGATGGACGAGTCTGGGTTTGGCGAATGCCAGGAGAACGTTACCTGCCTGACTGCACTGTGCCAGCTGTAGAGTTTGGTGGAGGAGGGATGATGATATGGGGCTGTTTTCAGGGGTTGGTCTAGAACCCTCAGTTCCAGTGAAGGGAAATCTTAATGCTTCAGCAGAACAAGACATTTTGGACAATCTTACACTTCCAACTTTGTGGAACAGTTTGGGGAAGAACCTTTCCTGTTCCAGCATGACTGAGCCCCAGTGCACAGAGCAGCTCCATAAAGGCCTGACTGGGTGAGTTTGGTGTGGAAGAACTTGACTGGCCCTCACAGAGCCCTGACCTCAACCCCATCAAACACCTTTGGGATGAACTAGAATGGAGACTGTGAGCCAGACCCTCTCGTCCAACATCAGTGTCTGACCTCACAAATGCTCTTCTGGATGAATGGGCAGAAATTCCCACAGACTCTCCAACATCTTGTAGAAGCTTCCCAGAAGAGTGGAAGCTGTTAGAGCTGCAAAGGGGGATCAACTCCATATGAATGCCTATGGGTTTAGAATGGGATTCATAAACGCTCCTGTGGGTGTGATGTGTAGGTGTCCCAATACTTTTGTCCATATTGTGTATGTGCAGGACCTGATAGCACCGTGATCTGAGCTCTTTAGCGTGCAGTAGAAGTGAAAAAGCCATTGTCTGTACCTGGAGATGGAGGGGTAGTAGAGCATGGCCACGCCTTCCACACAGAGCAGCACAGCCAGCCCCCAGGTGATCATGTGATACAGCACGATGGTGCTTGAGGAAGTCACGGTGCAGTCATGAAAGAGAGAGAGAGAGAGAGAGAGAGAGAGAGAGAGGCCATTCAGCCTTTAGCGGAGATGAACACAGCGCCTCCTTCGCCTTGTTGTTCAGTACAAAGAACCATTGTGGAGCAAAGAACCGTTTCTTACAGACTCAGTGGTGTAATTTAATTTTAGGCAGGGACCCCAAACCTGCCTAAAAACAAAATCATCATTTTCACCACCCAAAAACTATATTATAGTTAATTAATAGAGAAAGGATGAACTATTAGTAGTGCTGTTTTTGGTATTTATTCTGATAAAATTCATTTTTTTTTCCCAATCACATCACAGAATCACAATGTCAGGGCATATTTAAGTTAATGACCTCATACTTTAATAAACTTAATATGTTTGCATTAATAAAGTTGCAAACCTTTGACATATTTTTACATCTGCTAAGCTGGTCAGCCTCTCTAGTGAGGTCATCAGTCTTTAAATTACTCACTAATTGTTATAAACTATTCAGTATCTACTATAAATTATTCAGTATTTATTATTGATTATTCAGTAACTACTATTAGTTATCAGTAACTGTTATAAATTCAGTGTCTATTTATCAGTAACTACAGTGAATTATTCAGCAATTACTATAAATGTATTAGTATCTACAAGTAATAACTCAGTATCTACATTAAATAACTGAGTAACAATTAGTATTTTTTAGTATCTACTACAAATCACCAGTAACTACTATAAAAGCAGTTTTTATTTCAAATCATTCAGTAACTACTATGAATTTATTCAGTATCTACTATCAATTATTCAATATCTCTTAATAATTATTCAGAAACTACCATATATTATTCAGTATCTACTACAAATTATCCAGTAATTCTTATTAATTATTCGCAACTATTTTTTGAGACCCACCTCTTTGTAAATTTTGGCTGTGAAAACTCTCAGATGGCAGTTCGAGCTCCTGTACAGACCTGATCCCCGCAGATCGCTTGACCACTAAGAAGACGTCCACTGCATAGCAGAACATCCACCAGAAGGAGGCGCTGAAGAACAACTGGATCCACATCTGGTGGAGATTATAAAAGCTTGTATTGAGCTCAGTTCATAGTAAAGAGAGAGAAACGTTCAGTCTGCTGAAACACACAGCCTACATACACTAACATATACACACTTCAGAAAGAGGGTTCTTAAAGGGTTCTTAAGTAAAGAAAATGGCTCTACATAGAACCATGAACACTCAAAGAACCCTTTGCATGATTAAAGGGTTCTTTGCATCATGAAATGGTTCTTCAGATTGATGGAGATAGATGGTTCTATATAGAACCTTTTTGGAAAGGGTTCAATATAGCACCAAAAAGGTTTTTTATTGTCACAGACTTGACATCGTAACAATAGAAGAACTCTTTTTGGTGCCATACAGAACCCTTTCCAAAGAGGTTCTAGATAGAACCATTTTCTTTACTGAAAAACCCTTGAAGAATCACCATTTTAAAGAGTGTACATAATTTACACCGGTCAGGCGTAACATTCTGACCACCTCCTTGTTTCTACGCTCATTGTCCATTTTATCAGCTCCACTTACTATATAGGTGCACTTTGTAGTTCTACAGTTACAGACTGTAGTCCATCTGTTTCTCTGATACTTTGTTAGCCCCCTTTTACCCTGTTCTTCAGTGGTCAGGACCCCCATGGGGTCACAGAGCAGGTACTATTTGGGTGGTGGGTCATTCTCAGCACTGCAGTAACACTGATGTGGTGGTGGTGTGTTAGTGTGTGTTGTGCTGGTCTGAGTGGATCAGACACAGCAGTGCTGCTGGAGTTTTTAAACACTGTGTCCACTCACTGTCCACGCTATTAGACTCTCCTACCTTGTCAATCCACCTTGTAGATGTAAAGTCAGAGACGATAGCTCATCTGCTGCTCCACAGTTTGTGTTGGTCATCCTCTGGACCTTCATCAGTGGTCACAGGACGCTGCCCACAGGACGCTGTTGGCTGGATATTTTTGGTTGGTGGACTATTCTCAGTCCAGCAGCGACACTGAGGTGTTTAAAAACTCCAGCAGCACTGCTGTGTCTGATCCACTCAGACCAGCACAACACACACAAACACACCACCACCACGTCAGTGTTACTGCAGTGCTGAGAATGATCCACCACCCAAATAGTACCTGCTCTGTGAGGGTCCATGGGGGTCCTGACCACTGAAGAACAGGGTAAAAGGGGGCTAACAAAGTATCAGAGAAACAGATGGACTACAGTCTGTAACTGTAGAACTACAAAGTGCACCTATATAGTAAGTGGAGCTGATAAAATGGACAATGAGTGTAGAAACAAGGAGGTGGTCAGAATGTTATGCCTGATCAGTGTGTACCAGCCTGTTGCGGTGATTTCTATGAGAGACTAAGTAGTAGTTTATCATGACCGTTAGTGAAGAATGCTTCTGTAATGGCTTTTTTCTTAGTGACTAATTTAACTACCAACACAAATGTGGTACAGATTGAAAGTTCAGGATCTGTGTTTTCCACATGCTTGTTTCAGTGAGCTGTGAGTCAGAAAACAATGTAAAGTTACAGCTTTATTTCTTATTACCGTCGGTGCTAAAGGGTAAGAAACCCTTCACAGACGTTTTAATTGAAAAATAATAGTGAAAATGTGTGTATTTGAGTGGAACATAGACGTACAGCGCTGCCCACACAGAAGACCTCTGGCCAGACCTCGCTGCTGTTGGCTGTGGAGATGTCCCCTATGAGGCTGGGCAGGCCGAGCCAGACGGATGATCTAATGATGATTCCTGCACAAACACCACAGTACAGTTACTGAACACAGTAGCAAAAGCTTTTACACTGTAGCCTCTCTTTGCCGGCCCCCTGCTGGTGGAATGGAAATCAACCTGAACATTAATTAATTTAAATCAATAAAATATTTTCTACTGTAACTCTGCTATCAGATGAACTAGGACACAGCTGGATCTCTGTGTGAGATGTTGAGCTGCTGGCGAGCAATGAGGGGTGAAAGGGAAGGGCTGAAACCTCCTGCTGTGAAAACAATCCACACTTCTCCGTAAAGAGTTTCCATTCAAACATGCTGCAAATTTGAAGCCAATTTCCAAAATGTTGGAAGAAGAAAATGTGTATTAATCAACTGCGCTTATGTGCAAATTCCTGAAGAAAACTGCACGAAGAGAAGAAGATTTGAACACTGAGTGGAGTGGGCAGTGGCCTTTAAAGAGGGCTGAAGTCACTGTCCTGCTTCACCGTCCTTCGTCCACTGAACCCCTGTGAATGTCAATAGAGATGTAGCACTGATAGATCTGTCTCAGTTTGCTGCCGCATTAAATTGTGTGTTCAAAACAGTGACGGCACCATCGCCGATGCACTAATTTGATGTACTGTTTAGTATGATTTATGCAGTTTGAGATGCAGATGATGATTTTCATAGCAGCAAAGCGTCATCTGTTACTGTTTCCATCACCGTTTATTACATTTCTCCTTTATTGATAAACCAATTTGTCCACTTAACCCAAACATAAAACCATTTTTTGACAATATTTAGACAAATTTTCCAAATTTTGGCTTTTCTATCCATTTTTGTGTTTTCAAAATTTGCATTTGGGTCATTCTACAGAAACGTCCACTTTTCTATCTGTCCATAGGAGTCACTGGTGTTACTGATCCTCATTGGTGTTACACATAATAAAGGAACACCAGAGATATTTTTAATGAACAGTGTATTTTACTAAACGGCTGCTACAGACCATCAAACCACATGTTGTCAATCATGGAATATCCACTAAAATATGTAATTTAATCCATTTGTATTCTATTTTTTCACAGTTACCTCATAATAAAGTCAGTCACACCAGTGACTTCAGCTAAAAGCTTCATATGAAATCATGAGCTAAATGAGAAAATCTCTGATAACTGAAAGACTCAGTGGACTCACCATGAGCTTTTCTTCATAGATCCTCAGAAAACAGGTGAAAGGAAGTCGAGTGATGTCATCAGTGGGACTTTTATTTCAAAATAAGAGATTTTTTCGTTACGCAGTAACACCAGTGACACGACTCCTGGGGACAACAGCTTTCATTATATATTTTATAATATTTATTAGCCATTTGTTTTCTTTGTCATTTAACTCATATATTTCATAGTCATGTACAGATTATTGCAGTAAAAAGTGCAGAAAAAACGCTTTTTTTTCTTCAAAATATGGCCTCAGCCTTCACACACGACTGTGGGGACGAGCTCTTCTGTGGTGCCTGGAGTTCTACATTTAACTGATTTAAAAGCCAATATTGCTCAATTGAGGCTCAAGAAGGTGTAACTGTTAAAATAACTTATTGTTGTATTTTAAAAATATAAATAAATTGTAACCCTAACATGTTTTTAAGTGTAATATATCTGTAAATGCTAGTGACACAGAAATGGACGTTTGTGTAGAATGACCCATTTGCCAGTACACTGAAAATCCAAACACGGTTTCATAAAAGTGGACTATGAAGACGAAAATCCAGCTGTCTTCCAGTTTTATGGAAAATAGTTACTGGCTGCTGTGAAAAGTGATTAACTTCAGGTGAAACACTGGAATCACAGATATCACACGTTTCAGATTTGTACTGTAAGGTTGTTTCGCACCGCATCTCTTAATTTCTGAAAATGCTCCTCACTGCTGCAGGTTGGGGATAATGCCTGTTTACATAAACTCATAACAGTGGCATGAATAGAGCACAGCAAGGTCAAACAGCCTTAAAAAACAATCCCCATCCATTAAAATATCTGTCAGATTGGTCTGGGTGGTTCTGATCTCTTTTTGGTTTGTTTGTTTGTTTGTGGTGGGGTTTTCATCAACTTTTTTATTTGGAATAACTGACATGAGGATAGACACTGTCCAGTGGTAACGAATACACAGTGCAGTAAGTGTACATACAACAGAATACTACTGAAAAAACACACTGGTCAGGCATAACATTCTGACCACCTCCTTGTTTCTACACTCATTGTCCATTTTATCAGCTCCACTTACTATATAGGTGCACTTTGTAGTTCTACAGTTACAGACTGTAGTCCATCTGTTTCTCTGCATACTTTGTTAGCCCCCTGTTCTTCAGTGGTCAGGACCCCCATGGACCCTCACAGAGCAGGTACTATTTGGGTGGTGGATCATTCTCAGCACTGCAGTAACACTGACATGGTGGTGGTGTGTTAGTGTGTGTTGTGCTGGTCTGAGTGGATCAGACACAGCAGTGCTGCTGGAGTTTTTAAACACCTCAGTGTCACTGCTGGACTGAGAATAGTCCACCAACCAAAAACATCCAGCCAACAGTGTCCTGTGGGCAGCGTCCTGTGACCACTGATGAAGGACTAGAGGATGACCAACACAAACTATGCAGCAGCAGATGAGCTATCGTCTCTGACTTTACATCTACAAGGTAGGAGTGTCTAATAGAGTGGACAGTGAGTGGACACAGTGTTTAAAAACTCCAGCAGCACTGCTGTCTGATCCACTCAGACCAGCACAACACACACTAACACACCAGTGTAAGAATGTTCTTAAATGCAGTTCTCAAAAAAAACTTAAGAAGTTCTCAGATTGTCATGCCTCACTTCATTCAGAACTCCAACTCCAGACTCTCAACCATCCACCTATCCACGCTCCCGTTCCCCTGATTATTGATTGTTGTCACCTGTCTTAGTGCCTATATAACCTGTCTGTGTCCGAAGCCTCAGTGTGAAGTTGTTTCAGTCTGCTGTGCATCACCAAGCCTTTACTTCAGTGTTTGACCTCCTGGTTTGTCTTCTTGCTCGTTTTCTAGACTGACCCCTTTCTAACTCTGTTTTCTCTTAGATGTAGAGAACTTTAGCTCATGTTCTCTCGTTTTGATTTAGCTTAGCCTGCATTGCCCCGTTTGCCTGTGTATGGACCCTCGCCTGTTTCTGTACTACGATTCTGGATTAGCCCATATTAAACGCTTTAACCACAGCCTGCTCTTTCAGCCATCACACAGATATTCTCGTAAAATAATCTTACTTATTGTTCTAAGATTTTCTTAAGAAAATCCTCATTGTTTTCCTATGTAGGCTACGTCGTTTTCAACCCGTACCATAAAGATACGGTTTGAATTTGTATTAACGGTCATTTCCGTTATTAGTTTAATCCACATAGAGGAGCAAAATGGAGGAAAAACACCAGACCAAGCATTTAAAGAAGATTTAGCTAACAAGATCTAGAGAGGATGGAGGAAGAAACAGCCAAGAGGAAAAAAATCCTCCTTAGAAATTACGATAGTTTTGGGGTGACGGCGGAAAGCGAGAGACGAGGATGAGCAGGAGCAGATAAATCGATGAATTTAGATGCTCACCTTGTCAACCCTCACAGCGTAAGACGAGTGTGAGTCTGTCGTGAGGTTAACATAATATTTTCAAATAGTTGTGTTAGGATAGTTTTTAGAATTACACTTAAAATTAAAGTTAAGAAAAGAAAGTAAAATCATTCTTAAGAAGTTATTTGAAGCATTCAATTTCTTCATAACTTATTTCTTCAGAATGAAAACACATTTAAGAAGATCTTCTTCCTTAAGACACTTTCGTGAGTCCGGCCCCTGAATTGCAATGTTTAATTCAGTCAAAGACTGGATTTCTATCAGTAGAACTCTCCCAGATCCAGATTAAGACCAAGCCTAGCCTGAGAAAGCTTTTCAGTAGTATTTCACCAAGTGTGCAGGAACCAGACTGTTAAAAACAGATAGAATTGAGAAGAGCAGCGTGGAGCATCTTCCTCACCTACACATCCCAAGATGTCGCAGATGCTGATGATGAAGAGGATCCTGGACGATGAGGCCGGTTTGGGGAGCGGGTACTGGCCGAGCCGTCTGTAGCCCCTCCGCTTGGGCAGGATCTGCAGGACGGAGAAGAGGAGGCTGACGCTGGCGCTGCCGATGCAGATGGCGCCGAAGAAGACGGGCTGGAAGTTCACGATGAAGTCGGTGGCGGCGTCTCGGTTGGGGCAGCAGAACGTCTCCAGACGCGGTGAGGCCATGCTGGAGGAGAGGACGGGAGAGCGAAGGGACGTTCATTCATTTGGCATGGTCAGAGCATGAACAGGAGGATCACGGGTTGGGCCGTCATGTGCTTCTGCTTAATCCCCCTCCAGCCACGGCCTGAACCGTGCCGCGATTGTAAGAGGCGCTCCAAGAATGCAGCCTGGCATTTCCCCTTCCCTCTAATGCTGCTCAAATGCTGCTTTTTTGGTAGGGATCATTGATATTCACTTTGTTTGAAGACCTATGTAAGGACACATGCATAAGCAGTGAATAACATAATTATAAAGAAACACTGGAGCATTTATGACCAGCTTTTGCCAGTTTTCACAAGCTGACAAGAGGTAAATGATGTTACATTGACATAAACTGATGTGATGGACATTTGTTCTGTTTATGAAATTGTTTTGAAGCATCATTGGAGCTTATGAGGCAGAAGTCATGTTAAAAGGCCTCAGTTCTATCTATTACATATTTCTACTTCAGTTAAACTGAGTATATTTCTGTTAAGGAGACCATTTACATGTGAAAATGCTCATCATAGTAATATAATAACTGTAATAACTCAGCACATACTTTTGATGCTTACAGCAACTACTTTTGTACATTTGTACTCCACTAGTACTTTTATCAGGGCTGTTTCGACATTTGGAGGCTTTAAGTGACATATTACTATTATTTGCTATCCAGAACCACCAGTGAACCTACACAAGTCTTCTGAGTTTATATGGAATGTTGATGATGGAAAATAGTGGAAAATCTGAAATAATAAGTTTTCTTTGGGGACTATTTTGCCTCACAGCACCCTGCATGTATCCCTCCACCATGAATGGAGTTTAAGTTCTCAAAACTATCATAAAACAGTGTCTCAGTCATCAGGCAGTGAATTCATAACCATCTCATCTAGTAACTTTCTGTGAGGGAGCTTTTAGAGGTGGACGTCTGGTTCCTATCACCACCACTGTGAACAGTTCTGACTCGGTAAGTTTCTCTAGAACAGAGCGTTTCACACCAAACCACTCTGAACCGCTCTGTTTACATCTTAACCATCAATTTATGAAAATGTGATGGAATTCCCCTCTAAGTGGGAGAACATCAAAATTTCAGATCTAATGTTCTTAACTGGGCCTTACAAGTTCCATTACTTGTGAATGATGCTTCTTAACAGTGTTATAAATACATGTACAGCATCATTTACTTCATAAATGATGTCATATTGTGAAAACTGGCATCAGCTGTTCATAAATATTCAGGTATTATGTCCAAAAGAGACCATTGAAAATCACAACACCTAGAATTTATAAGCTGTTCCGCAAGAAGCCCAGTCATAAGCATAAGCCCCTCCCTGCCCACTTTACTCTGATAGGCTGCCCCCAGATGCCTCGTCTCGATAATTGAGAGGTAATTTCATGTAAAGATGATAAAGATGCTCTGTAGAGACTGAGGGGCGAATCGACCTCACAGCTTTACACTTACATTCACTTTTTTACACCATCATTTTTACAACCCTTTACGGAGATAAAGTCAGTATGACCTCACGCTGCTTTGTCATAGTTTGATTTTTAACCATCTAAAACTGACCAGAAGAACGCTGGACATGCTGAGTATCTCGATGCTCGTTTTATTTTATACTGTTATTGTTGTTTGTCTTGTACACGTCTCTTCGTATATAGGCTACATCACTAGCTCATGTCTAAGCTACATTTGAAATGGGTCTACTTAGTGATGAAATTACATTATAACGGATCAGAGAGAGACAAACATCATTTTTATTATTTTATTATTGCTAATCAGTGGCCTGCCCTGCAATGGACTGGCGACCTGTCCAGGGTGTATCCTGCCTTCCGCCCAATGACAGCTGGGATAGGCTCCAGCACCCCACCGCAACCCAGAGGGATAAGCGGTTTAGATGATGTATGTATGTATGTAATCAGTGGCCTTCCAGGTGTCTAGAGGTCTAATGATTTCTGTGAAATAAAAAAATTATGTCTTTAACTTGTTGAACTGTAGTAATACCCATTTCATTACTGAGTTCTGGTTGGCAGCACTCTTTCTTTCTAAGTAGATACAGCCCAGCGTGCTCTCCCATTGGTTAGGGCTTCAGGAGCTGGACTGAAGGCCTTACATGTTATTTTAGCTACTGAGTGACAGAAGAATCACTTTTTGATTTACAATATGAACAATTTAATGAGTAAAACTGTCACTTCAGTCCTTCTGGCAGTTCTAGATACATCACTGACTGTGAATATAAGCTGTAGTCCAACCAGGTTCCAGGTAGTTGTTAGGAATGTTAAACAGCGGCAGCAGCTCTACATCAGAACTGTTTACTGAAAGACTCACTGTAAAACTGATAAATACAAGCTCAAATATATGTTAAGGTCTATTGCCAGCTTCAGGAGTCTGTGTGTGATCTAGGACCGCCATAAAGCTTAGCTTAGAGCTTACATACTAATAGAATCTCATAGGGGCGCAGGCAGAAATTAGCATTAGAGGCGTTTTTGTGCCTCGTGGTTGACTGAGTTTTAACATTTATAGCCCAAAAGCCTCATAGTCCGTCACTGGTACTAGCCCGGTATTTCCATTTTGTCCTCTGGGGGCCGTTACAGATAAAGAACACTGAATAAAGAACACTGATCTAAAGTGGTTGGATTATGTTTCCCAATACAGTCCTACAGGTTCTCAGTGGGATTGAAATGTGCAGCCGAGGCATCTTCTTAACTCTACAGCATCTTGCTGGAATATTTTGGTCTTTTTCTCCTTTAAATGAACAGAAGCGACTGCAAACACATTGAGCAGTTGCTAAACTGCGTATGGCCCACGTCCATCTGAGCATTTGCTTGTCTTTAACATTGGCAATACTTTATGGAAAAGCAGTAAACAAACTTGATATTGATTTTCCTACAGTCTGTTACTGGGTTCTTCATATGATCCAGACATATTTCAGACAATTTTCCAGTAAATATCAAAATAACAACAAGATTAAACACAACACAAAGACGCTGGGGAATGTGGGCATGAGGCCGGTTTCCCAGATATGGTTTAAGCCTAGTGTTAGACTAGATTGCCACGCCAATGCCATTTAAAATTCCTTGAAGTCTGGGTTTAGGCTTAATCTGGGTCTGGAAGACTTGTACATGGAGTTATAGGTCACAGCCAGGCTTTAGTAAAGCAGGGAATTAACCTTCTTCTGCTGTCTGAAGTCAGCCTGGAGCTTCAGCTTAAACCGAAACCATATTTCTAGCACCATCTAGTGGCTCAAAGCAGAAACTGCAGTCATAACAGGAGCAAACTGGGTTAAGATCTGTGCTGCACTTTGGTCTAATGCATACAGCAAGCGAGAGCAGGGCCTGAGTGTGACGTGTTGTCAGGCCGGAAGTTGCATGTTGCAAACCAGCCCACCTTAAACTCTGTATTTTTCCTGCTACACACACGTCTTCATGTAAAATAACCTTTTCTAAAATCTGTGCATCTTCTTTGTCATTTCTTACTCTTAGTTTGTGAGTGCAGACCATGCCTTCAACATGGTGGTGGAAGTATGAGGGGAGACTGATTGAGGGAGGGGGAGAACTCTGAGAACTCGGGCTGGAGTTCTGGGCAGCTTCTGCCTGTAGCTAGAAGGCCAGACCCCCTCATAGCTGAAGTAGGACTGATGCAGGACTGAGGAACAGGGAGGAGATGGGGTGGCGATGGGGGTTGTGAACCCCTCGTCACGGGAACAGAAGGTGAGGATGTGAATTTATAGGGTGTTAGATTGGGAGAAGGAGGGGTTTCAGACATGTTCCTCCCCTAAACTTCAGTTAGAACATAACTATATATTTTTATATATATATATATGCTAAAATGAGATAACCAAGATGGCTAACCTGCTGAAAAAGGACCATTAGAAAGCACCAGGATTAAAATCTAATGGTAAGGGAATTGGTTCCGATAGAGACGACTAGTTTCCTGTAGAACACCATGAGATGCATCTAGAATCAGCCATTGGTCACCTATTAAACCATTAGGGTCCTTTACAATGTGATATCAACCCATTAAAAAAGCCAAACACATTTAAAAAACCATCAGAAACCACACTTAATGGTTTCTATGGGTTTTTCAGCAGGTCGCAAGTGATAAAACTGGCAAAAGCTTTTATTTTGAAAGTGAACTGTTGTTGTTGTTGGGGAGCTTTTAGTTATATTAAAGAGCCCATATTGTGGGAAACTGGACTTTCATCATCATCATCCCTTTTATTCATATAGCGCCTTTTCCATGCTCAAGGACGCGTTACAATCAGCACATAATCAACAATACATAACACAGAACACACACATGCCCACACTCCACGGTTCCCACAGCTAGTGGAGGGAATTTCACTGACCACAGTACAGAGTCACTTAGCTAGCCCGGAAAAAGACTTTAGCCGCGGGGAAAGTGTTACACCGCAACTACGCTGCATCACAAAGGAGGCCGGCCCGGGAAGCCTCGAAGGCCGAAAATGTAGGAGCTACGAAGGGGCAGCATTTTCCTGCAGCCGAACACCACTAATCCAGTCCAGGCCGCCTCATAGCTGCAGTGTAGTGACACCCAGGCAGCCGGCCCAGGCAGCCACGTAGCTGCGAAGTAGCGCTGCTTAGGCAGCCGGCCCGAGAGGCCTTGTAGCTGCAGCGTAGTGCTGCTCATGCAGCTGAACACTGCTGGTCCAAGCAGCCACACAGCTGCAGTACAGCATCAAGCAAGCGGCCGGTCCAGGCTGCGATGTAGCGTCGATCTGGTCCCCAGTCCAGAGAGCCTCGTAGCCGTGATACAGCATCACTCAAGCGGCTGGTCCAGGCTACATCATAGCTGTTTTGTAGCATCACCCAAACGGCCAGCCCAAGAAACCTGTTAGTCACAGCTGGAAAATCACTCTCGGTCACTATATCGATGGATACGATGGCAAACTTCTCAGCCAGCAAGGAAACATCAAAACATACACACAAACAATACAAAACAACGAAAAACCGATGTAAAGCAGCAGCCATACTGCACCAGCGTACTTACAGCGGAACACACACACAAACATACACACACTACTGTCCTCACTGCTTTGAGATTAAAGAATTTTATAAGGCATAGAAACATTTCAAAGTGTTCACTCTCCAGTCCATACAGTCCGTATGAGGAAACTAACCTGCAAAAACAGCCTGTTTTGAAATTGTTTTTGTGATGTCATGTAAACCAACACCTTTTTACACACCTTCCAATTCAGGCTTCAGCACTTTAGCTCCGCCCATTCACACTGAAGTTATAAGGAGTGTTTCAAACTGATTTCTTTTTGAATGAGACACAATATAGGACTTATATATCACTTATATATATATCAGTCTTTAAAGCACAGGAACAAAAAAGCCTGCATAATTAGAAAAGTGATAAAGAGATGTTGAAAAATGATCATGTAAAAAATAATTATGCCTTTTTTTTGGTGCATCAAACAACTGTATAAGTGAACCTCAGGCGAAAATATAAAATGCAAGAAAGCGTAGGATGTGAGCCGTTTAGATATTGTGACAGGAGGGTATTTCATTTTTTTTGCCATCACATATTCAAGAGCTGTTTGTTTATCTAATTTTTGGGTCTCCAGTGGACAGTGGGCACTAGCCCACTGGCCCAGTCAGTAATCTGTCCCAGCCGGCATTGAGCCAGAGGTTTAGTTTCTCCTCTTCTTCATGTTCTGTTTGTACATATCAGACTCGCTTCTGCAGTGCAGTACAATAACACTGATGTGTCTTATTGCTGCACAAGTCAAGTCAAGTCAGGCATTACTGTCATTCCAGCTACACAGATCAGTCATATCATTCTGACCACCTCCTTGTTTTGACGCTCATTGTCCATTTTATCAGCTCCACTTACTATATAGGTGCACTTTGTAGTTCTACAGTTACAGACTGTAGTCCGTCTGTTTCTCTGATACTTTGTTAGCCCCCTTTACCCTGTTCTTCAGTGGTCAGGACCCCCATAGACCTTCACAGAGCAGGTACTATTTGGGTGGTGGATCATTCTCAGCACTGCAGTAACACTGATGTGGACTACAGTCTGTAACTGTAGAACTACAGAATGCACCTATATAGTAAGTGGAGCTGATAAAATGAGCCAAGGGAGCCCCCATAAGAGACTAAATTGAAGTTGGAGGACTTTTCTGTTGAGCAAAAGATCGTATTCAACATCAGAGTCCTCCCCCGAATAAACTGTACACCCCACATGTGCAACAGAACCTCACAATCTAGAACACCAGTACTAAGATAACCATAATATAATAAGTTTTAGAGCTATGAAAACCTGAACACATTCACAAATGACAAAAAAGGGGAATTAAAGGGGAATTCCACTAAATTCTCAAATTTTCTCCATTATTAAATGCTTAAGATATAAAATCATTCATTGCTAAGTTTCAAAATGCTCTGACGTGAAACGCTGCGTTCTAGAGAAACTTACCGAGTCAGAACTGTTCACAGTGGTGGTGATAGGAACCAGACGTCCACCTCTAAAAGCTCCCTCACAGAAAGTTCCTACATGAAATGATTACGCTACCTGATGACTGAGACACTGTTTTTTTTATAGTTTTGAGAAGATTATGTCATTATTTCAGATATATTTTGTGAAAATATGACATACCGAGTCAAGTTGTTGAAAAATTGTCACGATTTAGAAACAGTAAGTCTTTGTTTTGAGAAAGAAGAAAAAAACAGTACCTGGTGGGAACCGCAAGGCTTAATACACACATAAATGAGGAGGAGTGGCTCCTGAGTACTGATGGAACTGATAGGTTGATGGGCGGGGCTGGGCACCTCTTCAACAAAAAGGTGCACCAGTCACTGAGTTCAGGGCGGGGTTTCACAGGAACACTGAATGTTCCGGGTAAGGTGTGGCTGCAGTGCCCTTAACTGAGGTACAGGGAGCTGAAAGTGCAGGTCTGACTGTGGGGGCCTGAAGTTGCAGTGGGACGCTCCTGACTCCAGGTGGGTGCTGCTGATTTAACCCCTAAGTTACTACAGATAGACACTTGGATGTAACGTATAGTCTGTTTGAACGTTTTTGTGCTCATATCTGTGATTTTATACTTTTGCTCAAAGTTACCGGCCCGAAACTCTACCTGTCTTCAGACGCTCCCGATCACCCACTCCGGCGTTCAGACGCGTATCGTGGTCTGAGGAGGTCTAGACTCTAATAATAATGCAAAAAATAGCACAAAAAATAATAAATCTGCAAAATATTGTTAATGTGCAGCAAATGTTTGTTCAAACAGCACTGGAAAAAATGTAAAGTAATTCATTCTGAATTCTGAGTTCTACATTTTTGGTGTTGGGGGGCTTTTAATTACATTAAAGGGCCCATATTGTGGAAACCTTTTGAGATAAAAGATACAGTATAGAAACATTGCTAAAGTTTCAAAACGTTGACTCTCCACCCCAAACTGTCCGTATGGAAACTAAACCATTCAGAGTGGTTTGGTGTGAAACGCTCCGTTCTAGAGAAACTTACTGAGTCAGAACTGTTCACAGTGGTGCTGATAGGAACCAGACGTCCACCTCTAAAAACTCCCTCACAGAAAGTTATTATATGAAATGGTTATGAATTCACTGCCTGATGACGAAGAGGCGACTCAGCCTCTCTCATTTCCTCGCACATCTTTAGTCATATTTGGAGCTACAGTTTTTGAACTGTGCAACCAAACCTGAGCCAAGAGTGAAAAGGCATGCATGCGAGGGCACGAGGAGACACAGTGTGCTACTTTTAAGTAGGGAAATTCCACCAATTTCTCAAAATTTCTACATAATTAGGTATTTAAATGTAAACAAAGAGATTCAGAGTGGTTTGGTGTGAAATGGTTCAGATGTCTTTACAGTGGTGGTGATAGGAACCAGGGGTCGCCATGACGACAACACAAATATAGACATTTTATTTACTATCCAGAACCACCAGTGAACCTACACGAGTCTTCGTGAATGAATGAATGTTGATGAGGGAAAATAGTGGAAAATCTGAAATAATAAGTTTTCTTTGGGGACTATTTTGCCTCACAGCACCCTGCATATTATGTATCCCTCCACCATGAATGGAGTTTAAGGCCAAAACTATCATAAAACAGTGTCTCAGTCATCAGGCAGTGAATTCATAACCATTTCATGTAGTAACTTTCTGTGAGGGAGCTTTTAGAGGTGGACGTCTGGTTCCTATCACCACCACTGTGAACAGTTCTGACTCTGTAAATTAAAGCAAACCACTCTGAATGACTTTGTTTACATATTAATCATTGTGCCACATGCAACTAGTTGCTTGAATGCTTCACTGTGCAAAGCCAGCCTGAGTGACGTTACTGACACAGGACTCAAATGATAAACTAGCATCTGGTGTTACACAGATCTGTAACTGTAGCTCACGGTTTCACTGGGAAAGGTTCAAATCTGCAGCCCTGTTTCTAAGCAGACAACAGCAGCACTTCTGACTGTAACTCTGAGTTTATTTATCTCGGCACTGCCGGCCTCTGTGTGCTAAAGCTTCCTGCAGGTCGGACCCATTGTCTACAGAGGACGTGACATCACTCCCACCGGGCAGAGAGCGTATGAGCTGAGAGCAGACAGAAACCTCAGAAAGACTCGTTGGAGTTTGGACCCTGCAGGGACTCCACGCTTCAGCAGCTCTCGGCCTGTTGTGCGCAAGAGAGAGAGGAGTTTCGATAGTTGTCGAGCAAGATGTCTGAGAAGCCTCAGCCGAGAGATGAACAGGAAGCTGCTGTTTACTTCTCTAATCCTCTAATGAGTGGTGAGAGACCAGCCTACGCTTCTACTGTGTCTTTAATGGCGGCTCAGTTTGACTGAACTTCTTCATTTGCGAATGGTTTATAATTAAGGCTGCCACCTCAGTTCTGGAAAAACCGGTTAGAAAAGCTGATCAGGGCTGTTGGTGTAACGTAGTGGGGACCAGTGCTGCACCTCCACGCAGCAGCCTGGGGGTTTGATTCTCTGCTACTATGCTACACCAGTAAGAGTCCTTGGGCTAGACTCCTAATGCTGTATTCAAACACACCCGTAATGTGAGTGAACGTTAAGTCACTTCGGACAGTGGCGCCCATGACATGATATGACCTGATGATTCTCTTTTTATAAGTAGTAAGAAATGCTAACGTATGGAAATGGACATTTTCTGTGCTGGAATGGAATTAATTACTTTACTGCATTCCAGGGAAATCCAGGGAGGTCCAGGAAAATACAGAGCTCCTGGAGAGACGTGGTGTATTTTATTATTTTTTTTATTAAAACTTGGTGAGCACCAGATACTATCAAATGAGTGTCATATTCACTCACACACATCTTCTAAGCCGCTCATCCTTCTGGGTCGCGGGGGGAGCTGGAGCCTATCCCAGCAGTCATTGGGTGGAACGCAGGATACACCCTAGACAGGTCACCAGTCCATCGCAGGGCAGAGTGCCACATACTAATAGAAAAATTATATATATATATAGCTAAATGTAGGCTCCCTAAATATATTTAGGGAGCCTACATTTAGCTATATCAGTTTGAAAAGGACAAAGTTGCAAACTATTAAGGTTTTAAAAAATAAATATATATATATATATATATATGTGTGTGTGTGTGTGTGTGCATCTGTATATCTGTATGTTCTTCCTCCATCATTCTGTCATAGAAGAAGACATTTATGACTTTTTAGAGTCACAACAGGTGGCAACTTAAAAACAATATATATTATTATTGTTATTATTATTTATTATTTGTAGTAGTAGTAGTATCAGGTGCTCACCACATAGTATCTGAAGCTCACTTGATTGGATTGGGTGCTCACCAAATAGTATTGGGTGCTCACCACAAACTATCTGGTTCTCACTTGACTGTACTGGGTGCTCACCACATAGTATCTGGAGCTCACTTGATTGGATTGGGTGCTCACCAAATAGTATTGGGTGCTCACCACAAACTATCTGGTTCTCACTTGACTGTATTGGGTGCTCACCACATAGTATCTGGAGCTCACTTGATTGGATTGGGTGCTCACCAAATAGTATTGGGTGCTCACCACAAACTATCTGGTTCTCACTTGAGTGTATTGGGTGCTTACCACATAGTATTTGGTGCTCACCACATAGTATCTGGTGCTCACTTGATTGCACTGGGTGCTCACCAAATGGTATTGGGTGCTCACCACAAAGTATCTGGTTCTCACTTGATTGTATTGGATGCTCACCACATAGTATCTAGTTCTCACTTGATAGTATTGGGTACTCACTAAATAGTATCTGGTGCTCACCACATAGTATCGGGTGCTCATCTGATAGTATTTGGTGCTAACTTGAAAGTACTGGGTGATCACCTGATAATATCAGGTGCTCACCTGATAGTATCTGTGGGCAGCAGATTTTTACCTAAAAAAATAATACACCACATCCCTCCTGGGGCTCCATAGGAGAATCCTGGATGGGTGGCAGATCTGTTTATAGACCAAACAGTCAAAGAGGAGAAAAGCTCACTTCAGACCTGATGTTTGATTTGTTTAGTAGTGACAGTTATTTGTTTCCTTCTTTTGTTGAAAGACGTTGAGGCCGACTGGTCACCGATACACGACGCTGCTTTCAACGGGAGACTTCTGGCTTTGCGCAAGCTGATCAACCAGGTTGGTGTTTTTGCTGAGTCAGCACGTCGTCTCCTACGTGAGCACTTTCTAAAACATACGCAGCCTGTCCAAAAGTTTGTAGACGCCAGTGTTTCTTCTGAAATCAATGGTATTAATAGGTAGTTTGCCCCCTTTGCTGCTACTCTTCTGGGAAGGCTTTACACTAGATGTTGGAACATTGCTGTGAAGATTTGATTGAGCATTAGTGAGGTCACTGATGTTGGATGGTCAGTTCTGGATCACTCCAACTCATCCCAAAGGTACTGGAGCCCCATCACTCCACAGAACACAGCTCCACTGATCTTCAGCCCAATGCTTGGATTTGGGCATGGTGACCTTAGGCTGCTCCAGAGTATCCCATTCTATTGATCAGTGCTTTTCTACAGAGAATAACCTTAAAGCAGCTGAATGAGAAGAGCTGTCTGGATACTTTTGGACATGCAGTGTACCTTTGTTTTCAGTGCAACAACACAAGTAGCACAAGAGTTAATGTTTCCTTTTGGAGAAGGACCAGCAGTAGACACTGTGGTCAAACACTGACCTTCTGAACTGCATAACTTATTAAATCAAGCACACAATGCAAGAATTGCTATCTTTGCAAGAAAATGATCTCAAGTCTGGTCAACATATCAAAACTCCCTCACTATAAGATTGTGTGAGAATATTTTAAGATTCTTCAGGTTATTACCAGATGTTTTACCTTGTTTTAAGTTACTGTATGTAGGGAAAGTGTCCATTTCCACTGGCAGATAAGTTTGTTTGTATTGAGACAGTGAGGATTTGCATGATCTGCTAATGAAATCAGCCCCCTTGATCCCTTTTCACTTTTGATGTTTATGTGGTTTTATGTACTAAAAACTGCAGTTATTTATTTTTACATGACCATTTTTTCAAATCTATTTAGATGTTTGAAACATACAGTTGTGCCTTTAAGACAATTTTGTTGTTTTCCAGTTTTTGACATAATTTGAAATTTGAAAGTGCCTCTTGCTCTTTACATTGTGTATAAATTTCATGATGAATGGACCAAAATAAACGGCCTAAAATGACTTTGTTTCTTTTGGTCTATTCATCATGAAATTTACATACAATATAAAGGACAGCAGATATTTTCAAATTATGTAAAAAACTGAAAAACGCCAAAAATGGAAATACGAGGTTTTGGTCCGAGTGATCTATCAGCAGTGATTTATATATATATATATATATATATGAAAACTGCGCTGTATGTTCATGTCACATGTAACATATATATATATATATATATATATATATATATATATATATATATATGTATATATGTATATGTATATATATATATATATATATATATATATATATATACATACATATATATGTATATATATATATATATACACATGTTACATGTGACATGAACATACAGCGCAGTTTTCATATTTGGACTGGGGTGTGAACGGTATGTTGTAAAACTTGATGCTGTAACTGTTTCCGTATGAGATTTAGTTTTCCATGATATGGGCCCTTTAAAACAAGTAAAATTTAGGTTAATAAATGTAGAATATTCTTAAAACTATCTAAAATGAGAAATATTAGACATATTTTGATTCAAAGTGAATTCATTTACACTGTAGAAACAGGTATCTGGACCTTCTTCTCCATGAGAAGTACAGAGAAGTGCTGAGAAGTATATGTGTCTGTGTGGGCAGGGTGTGGCAGTGAATTTGACCACTCTGGATGGAGTGACCCCTCTCCATGCAGCCTGCCAGCAAGGACATACCACATGTGCCCAGCTGCTGATTGAACACGGAGCCAACGTGAGTACATTAGAGTAACGAGTCACCCTAAACGAAAACCTGTCCTACTTGTAATCTAACTGCACTTTCAGGTGAGGTCCAGTTGCTGTGGGACGAAATATGCAAATCAGCTTGTTACATGGCAACCAGTTACCAACTGTTTATCTGTTCAGTCTGCAGTGTGTGTTGTACAGTCGTGTCGGTCCCTGTTGATATTAAGCATTTCATTTCGTCGCCAACCATGTGAGTCCTCCATGACCATCTTCCTCACAGACACGGATCACGAGCCCAGTGACTCACTGCATGGGGAGGAGTTTGTACTGGGAGGGATTTTAGTTGTACTGGGAGGAGTTTTGTTGTACTGGGAGGAGTTTTGGTTGCTCTGGGAGGAGTTTTAGTTATACTGGGAGGAGTTTTGGTTGTGCTGGGAGGAGTTTTGGTTGTACTTAGAGGGGTTTCCATTGTACTGGGAGGAGTTTTGGTTGTACTGGGAGGAGTTTAGTTGCTCTGGGAGGAGTTTCAGTTGTACTGGGAGGAGTTTTGTTGCACTGGGAGGAGTTTCGGTTGTTCTGGGAGGAGTTTTAGTTGTACTGGGAGGAGTTTTGGTTGTGCTAGGAGGTGTTTCGGTTGTTCTGGGAGGAGTTTCAGTTGTACTAGCAGGAGTTTTAGTTGTACTAGGAGGAGTTTTAGTTGTACTGGGAGGAGTTTTGGTTGTGCTGGGAGGAGTTTCGGTTGTTCTGGGAGGAGTTTCGGTTGTTCTGGGAGGAGTTTCGGTTGTTCTGGGAGGAGTTTTAGTTGTACTGGGAGGAGTTTCGGTTGTTCTGGGAGGAGTTTTAGTTGTACTGGGAGGAGTTTCGGTTGTTCTGGGAGGAGTTTTAGTTGTACTGGGAGGAGTTTTGGTTGTGCTAGGAGGTGTTTCGGTTGTTCTGGGAGGAGTTTCAGTTGTACTAGCAGGAGTTTTAGTTGTACTGGGAGGAGTTTTGGTTGTGCTGGGAGGAGTTTTGGTTGTGCTAGAAGAGATTTCGGTTGTACTGGGAGGAGTTTCAGTTGTACTGGGAGGAGTTTTAGTTGTACTGGGAGGAGTTTTGGTTGTTCTGGGAGGAGTTTTGGTTGTACTGGGAGGAGTTTTAGTTGAACTGGGAGGAGTTTTAGTTGTACTGTGAGGAGTTTTGGTTGTACTGGGAGGAGTTTTAGTTGAACTGGGAGGAGTTTAAGTTGTACTGGGAGGAGTTTTGGTTGTTCTGGGAGGAGTTTTGGTTGTTCTGGGAGGAGTTTTAGTTGTACTAGGAGGGTTTTTTTCCTCTGATATTCGCTCTGATATGGAGGCATCTTGATTTAACCCTTTAACAAGCTAGTTTTGTTGCACACTTCTACAACCTCAGAACGGCTCCATTAGTTTACTTTGAAGTCCCTGTAGTTACTGAATAATAAGCCTTATTATATGATAAATCTGGAACGTTAAGGGGTTAATATGCTTCTCAATACAGTAAAAACAAAGAGTGCAGAAAATGTAACGGAGCTGTAACGTTCTAATATTCCTCCCTACCTGCCTCTACCTGTACCTTCCTCTCTCTCCAGGTGAACGCCACCACAGTCAGCAGCAGCACTCCTCTCTCCGTGGCCTCAAGCAGAGGCCATGAGACCTGCGTGAACCTGTTACTCCAGAATGGAGCTCCACCTCAGGGCTGATTATACGTTCCAGAGCAACGTTAATCACAAACAGCATTGGCTTATCTGGGACACCTGACAGATTTCTGCAGCTAAGGGGAGAGAAATGAAACTCCTGTCTAATGACGCACAGGCTGTTCACTGTTTCATATTAATTACTTCGTCCTGTATATTATAGGTTGATGGCACTTTAGCTGGTTTTCAGGAGCTTCTTTCCAATTTTCTCTGAACTTTACTTCAGTACAATCAAATGGAGCTTTTTCTACGGTTGTTGTGTTTTGCGTATTGTTTCGGTGTTATAAGATCTACACGTTAGGTGTTTTATCTGCTAACACATGAGTGGGAATTTGTAAGCTATTCATTCATTAAAAGAGAAAATTCTTGATCATGTGAAACCCAATTTTCTGATTTCTAAATGAATGATATTAAAGTCAAAGTGAACTTTTTCATTCAAGGAGTGCACAGCTGATTGAGATTCTCCAGCTCCGACGTGCAAAAATATACATAAATATAACAAAGGTAAACGCACATAGACATACTAGACAGCATAGACAGACCAACTAAACGTATAGGGAAAAATATATATATTATCACTGTCCAAAGAAAAACACACACACACACACACACATTTTCTAAGCTGCTTATCCTTCTGGGTCACGGGGGGAGCTGGAGTCTATCCCAGCGGTCATTGGGCGGAAAGCAGGATACACCCTGGACAGGTCACCAGTTCATCGCAGGGCAGACACACACACTCACACCTAGGGGCAATATAGCATGTCCAACTGGACTGACTGCATGTCTTTGGAATGTGGGATGAAACCCACACAGACACGGGGAGAACATGCAAACTCCACGCAGAAAGGACCCTGATTGCCCGGCCGGGACAAAACATTATATATATATATATATATATATATATTATTTAAAACACTGCACGTTGTTCTCATTGATGGTATTTTTGCACAGTGTAACTGTAAATGAAAACCTGACACTGATGAATAGTGATAAAGTGTTCGAGTGATGAAAACATTGAAAATATTGCACAGAAAATAGCTGCATTTTTAAAGATTGGAGATATGAGTTCATATAGATGTGTTCAGACTGTGTGTGTATTCAGGAGTTCAGGGTTTGCTTGAGGCACGACACACTCCTACATCCTGGTCGGCTAACAGCCCGATGAAGCAGTTAGTGACGTTACAGGCGGCCATTGTTCTTAAGCTTAAGGTAATCTGCTGAGATAGACTAGGCAACAATGTAACATGAGCTCAGCTAACAAATTGCTAAATGGACAAAGACAACACACACAGCTCTTACGCTGAACCCAGATGTTCGCCCCAGGCTGCCATGGAGGTAAGCCTCGAGGAAGTCGAAACCGCCCATGCACCCGGAGCAAGCCAGTCAAACACACGTCAGGACTCCAGCCAATCATACTCAGGAGTAGGCGGGTGAAGAGAATGAAGCAGGAAAAAAGCAAAACAAAAGTCCAAGGGAGTTTCCAACGCATTTCCTCTTCTGTCCTCAGTCTGGAAGTAGAGCAGAGACGGTTTCTTCTCAAAATAAACTCACCAGTCTCAGAGCTCAGTGCACCATGTTGTCAGTATAATCAATGCCATTATGCAGCAACATCAACAGATCAAACGTCTAAAACATGAATCGCCAAGCAAACCCTCCCTGCTCCAGGATAAGGGCTCAGGAGGCCAACTTCTCCAGGGTATCTAATCTAGATGTAGAGATCCACTTCGCTTCAATTGACCAAACCTGCTTCTACGGGATCCAACTCTCTTATGGTTATCCATCCCACTCATATGGAATCATTCTCCTCTTATCGATCCACTCTACTCCCAGAGATCCATGCTATTCCTGGAGATCCAACCTTCTCCTGAGTATCCACTCTAATCCTGGAGATCCAAAATTCTCTGGAAATCTAATCTACTCCTAGGGGGTCCAATTTTCTCCTGCGGATCCAAACTTCAGCTGGGGAACCATCCTACTCCTGGAGATCCAACCTTCTCCTGAGGATCTGCCTTACTCCTGGAGATCCAACCTTCTCCTGAGGATCTGCCTTACTTCTGGAGATCCAACCTTCCCTGAAAGTCCATTCTACTCCAAAAATACAAATCCAAGTACATCCTGGAGATTCAGTCTGTTTAAGGAGATCCACCAAAGTCCAGGATTTCAGGAGAGATCCACTCTACTCCTGGAGATTCATCCTCCTGGTGATCTGGTTTCCAAACCTGACATATCAGTGTAAAATGTGCTGTGTTTGCAGCAGGAACAGTCCAGCAGAGCCACACACTTGTAGTTGGTGGATGGGCGGAGGCTGATCTTGAATCTTTTACTGTGGTGCTGAATCAGCTGCTGGTGAGCAACAGCACAATAAGCTCCCGATTAACAGCACAACGAAACACTCGTTTTATATTTGTAATTTATTTGCACTATGGCAGTGATGAATTGTAGACGGTTTACCTGCCTTTACCTTGTAGAAAAGTCACATGACGTTCACCTGTGATCACCTGTGAAGTGCGTAAAAAAGCACATGTTCACACATTAATATGTGACATAATAATATATGATCATGTGACGTGATGCCCTGAAATTGCAGTTTTTCCTGTGATCAATTAAATTTCTAGTATTACATTTTATGTAATTACATGTAAAAAATCTATTTTAACATATTACATAAAATTACATGTTGAAAAATATAATAAGGGAAACATCACAACAATATCACATCAAAAATAATCACAACTCAAAAATAAAAACAGATTTTTCCACTTGTGGAGAAATAAAGTTGTTATTGGGAGTCGACTCGCATTGAAGGTTTCATATACATTAACAGAAAACATCAGAAAATCCAGATTTCTTTGGAACATTTCGGCTCCGCCTCCTCAGCTCTGCCCCGCCCCTCATTATCCCCAACACCTGTTTCTTCTTGTGTTAGTTTGTCTCGTTTTGTTCGTGCCAGTTTTCATGTATCATCCGTTTCTGAATGTGCCTCATTAGTTTTTCTGATTTTTGTCTTTGTTTGTTGATGACTGGTTTATGGATTTACTGTGTTTTACTCATCTACCATCTTGTGATCCCTGCCTCGAAATTAATCAGTGAAATTAAATTTAGGCTCATTAGTTAAGTAGAAAGTAGGAATCATACATCATCTAAACCGCTTATCCTTCTGGGTCGCGGTGGGGTGCTGGAGCCTATCCCAGCTGTCATGGGGCGGAAGGCAGGATACACCCTGGACAGGTCGCCAGTCCATCGCAGGGCAGACAGACAGACACATTCACTCACACCTAGGGGCAATTTAGCATGTCCAATTAGCCTGACTGCATGTTTTTGGACTGTGGGAGGAAACCGGAGTACCCGGAGGAAACCCACGCAGACACGGGGAGAACAGGCAAACTCCACACAGAAATGACCCTGGTCACCCGGCCGGGAATCGAACTCAGGCCCTTCTTGCTGTGAGGCGACAATGCTACCCACTGCGCCACCGTGCCGCCCCTAAGTAGGAAACGTTTTAAATAAAAAAGATAAACAATATTACCAACATGGTTCATTTTGGGAACAATAAAACTGACAGTGCCACTGAATGAAGAGCTGTATTTGTAGCTTAGCTGACTTGACTCACCGAAAAGAGCCGCAATGCCCCTCACTCATCTCCAGTGTCCTGCGCTGCCAGTCACAGTGATGGGAGTTTGAGGTGTGGACCTCACTGAGATCAGACAGCCGTCCTCCTGCTCTACTAGAATGTGCTATAACAGAGCAAATAGAGGACAAAAAAAAGCATCCAGTCCAAGACAGGAAGCTCTGGTGAAGCCAACAACATCGCTCTGGGGCCGAAGTTGCTGCTGTGAGGACGGTACTAAAATAACCGCTTTCTCTCTCCAGAAAGCAGGCGAGGCGCTCACCTCCTCCCAGCGGTAAGATTTCTGACAGCAGAGCATGACCCTCTTCTCTGGCTAGTCTTTGCTGATTGGGGCTCCTGCTCAGATCCCCTCAGGTGCTGGGATCCTCCTGGGCTACACCGGAGCGTGGCTAGCTTTGCCACTGGAGCATGACACTCCTTTTCTTCTCGGGGCTGTGAGCAGAGGCCTGCGCTGCGATCAGTTTTCTCTGAAAGATGCCTGAGGGCTTCTCTCCGGGGTTCTCCAAAGTTGGGGCTGTGAGAGAGGAGGACACTGGGGAGAGCCAGAAGGAAAATCAGAAATCTCTCACCAGTTCTGTCCGAGAGTTTTCTTTCAAGGCTGAGATGTTTGGCCGTTCTAGACTGGACAACTTGCCTCTGCTGATTGGAAACGCCTTAAAATCTCCTTAATTTGCATGACCATTTGCCAACTTCATTAATACGCCCATAAATTCCCATCTCGGATTAACGGGTCGACTTACCTACTCACCACTCACCTTTTTGGTGCTTTATAGAACCCTTAAAAATGTCTATATAAAACCATATACAACACATCCTCCATCAATCTAAAGAACCCTTTCATGATGCAAAGAACCTCTTAATCATGCAAAGGGTTCTTTGTGTGTTCATGGTTCTTTGCAGAGCCATTTTCTTTACTAAAGAACCCTTGAAAAACCATCTTTTTAAGTGTGTATAAACACAGAACAGTACTTCATTTTTAAAAAATGTCCATAACAGGTTCATTTGTTGGAGAATGTGCTTTTACGTCAGATTATACAAATTTTCATCTTTGAAATATAATATTTCAGCCAGTTTCCAAAACTATTTTTGCTAAATAGTTTTGTGTACCTGCTCTGGTTTTCTTTAAACATAATTGTCATCATCTGTCTGTCAGTTTTAGGGTTCATAGAGGTCCATGCTCGTCTGATGCTAGTCAAGCTGAAGCAGTTTGTCCTCCATCACTTACATTTGTGAATACCAGAACTATATTGGATATAAACAGTTTGCCACTAAGTCAAACTCTCTGACTCAGAAATCTTCTTCTAAGGAACATGTTGGTTCCGGAGCTCCAGCACAGCGCAGATATGATGGCTTTCCTTCTAACACAGCATGAATTAAAGTGATAAACAGACGTTCAGTAGATCTGAAACGTTCTCTATATCAGCATTCATGCACTCTACTTTTGCCCCAGTTGGGATTATTAGTGTTTTTGGAACATTTATCTACTATTGTGTTCATTTATAAATATTTCTTGAATATAACAGTGGTGGATGCTTTTTCTGCAGCATAACTTTACAATTAAAGCAAAAATGTAAACATTTGAAACCATGTTGACAGGAGCTTTAAGTGCTGTTTATCTGATGGGGGCAGTTTGGTGTCTACCAGCTCTTCCAGGTGGTTGCTAGGAGCCAAATTTTCTCTGGAGCTTTTCATCATTTTTTGGACTCCAGTTTTGTAAACTCCTATTTTTTTTAAACTTATTTTTCTTTGACTTTCTCCTTCCCTGTACAAGTGGATTATCTTATATCTACAACCCCATTTCCAAAAAAGCT